AGAGAGAGAGAGAGAGAGAGAGAGAGAGAGAGAGAGAGAGAGAGAGAGAATAAAAACATAATTTTTTCAGATCGTCCGCTAGGCCTTTCTGCCTTCTATGGCTTCTTTCTATATATATATATACATAGACATATTGGTTTTATATAATAGCTATATTTTCAATTATAGTATATCAATTTTTCTATCTTCTTGTAATATGATGTATATGTACATGTAACTGTTCTGTTTCACTGTGTCTTGAAAAAGGAGCGGATCGCTCCGAAATTTTGACAACCTAAACTTGTCCACACTGTTGGAATTACTTCTTTGCCCCATATATGTATACATATGTATATGAATTCCACGAATTTCCTAGTTTGTTTCATATCAACAAAGCGATATTCTTTAAAGTCCGATATTTTTTTATAACATTTGAATCGATTCAACTTGTGTTTAACGTTTTCATTTTTTAATATTGCATCACACGCATAATCAATGGTCAGACAATCCAATTGATTAATTTCCCATAATCACGGGAATGTTTGTTTGCGCCTTAGACATAGAAACCATTCATAAATGTAGTTATATTATAGACATGTATACCTTATACATATTTTGGAATACGAAGTTTCGTAATTATTTTTATTTTCTTCTTTACTTTTTTAAGCAAAAGAAAATACCACTTTCGACCATTTTATGATAATTTGTCCATGTTCATTACACATTTTTCAGCTCGTGACGGTGAGATGAACAAAACAATGTAACATTATGTGAAAAACTGTCAGCTTCTTGCTTCAAGTTCTACTGGTATTTCTACACGAGTTACTTCCCTTGCATTGCATAAAGTGCACAAGCCTGCATATTTCCGTACTCTGCACTACTAGTACGATCGATTTCAAATTTTACATGTTGTTGTGTAAAGGTACATATTGTATGAATCAGATGAAAAATGGGAAAATAAATAAAGAACTCCTGGGGGCGTGGAAATCTCCGTGGACTCTCTCTGGACACTTATTCCTTCCTGAGCACTCATTAGGGTAACTGTACAAGACTTCCTGTTCATTTCCTGCGTGATAGACTGTTTACCTTACCCACCGACGTAGAGAGTGGTGTACGAGAATGGAGAGGTGGCTCGCTTCACTTCTTTTATTGTGTTTGTTCTTCATTGTTGGTAAGTTTTGAATATAGTGTCACCAGAATAAATACGTTGTAGCTATAATTAGCAATTAATCACAGGTACATGCATCACAGGTACTAACGTCGTCTGTCACAGTAGGTGTATTGACAGACGAGGCTAGTACCTGTGCGTGTAGTACTAATATTAATACCCGGTCTCCTCTGCCCCGGCCAGACGACACAATATATATATAAAAAAAAACTCTCGTCGTCCGAAAGCTACGTTATCGCAGCTACTGTGCATGTATATCGAAAGTGTCGTGTCCATGTTGTGCGCAGAGTTCGCTACAAATGTCTGTTGCAACACTGCAGGGTCACAGCACATCTTAACATATGTTTTGAACAAAAGGACATTTCCCACATGTAATGTCGATATGCTGTACTTACATGTGTCACACCACGCCTAGACGTATGTTTAGGTGTGCTGTGACCCATATCACAATCAGCAGTCCACTTCTCATAGGTATCTCCCTCCTATGGTAGGAGAGCCAGTGACGTTGGTCACTGTTGTATTCACACAATATGTTTTTCGTAGTTGAGATTAGGCCTACGATTTACCCAATACAACCCCATACTATGCAATACAAACGTCGATTTACCAAATACATGTACAACCCAATACTACCGAATACACGTGCCGATTTACCCAATACAAACCAATACTAACCGATACAAAAAGTACACCCAATACAACTGATATACCAACTAAGTACAGTGTTCTCCCCAGGAATCTTTTGATGCGCTATGGTATCTATTTTTTAACCCTTCCATCGCACCGCGTCGTAACCCATCTATCTATCATTTAGAAAGAAAACTCAAAACATGAGTAATTATTGATGTAATTGATTTTAAATAAATAGCATTGCTTAATAGTCTTTATATTGCATTATATTTTATTACTTTGTCTTGCCCTTCATTTTTTTCAATAACTACAAGTAAAATAGTCTGACTCAAGAGAAAGGATACTTTTAGCATTATTCTTCCAAAATATATATCATCATAGAAATAAATAAATATATGACTAAGAATATATAAATTATAATGATATTCCAACCATTATATTTATTTTGGCAAATTATTAATAAATCTCAATTTTATCAGAACAATGCTGTTCTCAAATATAAACTTAAGTAGTGATACAATTATCAAATTAAATTATTGTAATTATCCTTTGAATTATATTTCACTGTTACTTTTCAAATCGGGAAAACCGGGTGCTGTTTATAATTTTGGCGCCAACGTGATTAACGCTCCACATCCATGGTTCAAAGTCCATTGCATCACAGATTACGTAATATTATTCAGGTTATCAAAACAACATGGCCGCCACGTGCAGTCTGCTCACTTACGATCTATCTTAATGTAGCAAAATATATTTCAAGTTCTCTAAAAGTTTTATTGACAGTCATTTGTTGATAAAAGCTTCTCATATAGCTTACTTATGTCAAGCATTAAAATGTGATGGCCAAAAACAATGCAGCAGACGTTTGGCATGTTTTTTACATAAAGATGTACTTCTGTGTTTGTATATTCTTATTTTGTTGTAATTATCGGTCATCTATGAAAATCAAAACGTAGATTGAAGCCTTGATAATGAACAAACATCACTAATTATAATTAGACGAATTGTTACTGGTAATTGTGGTCTAACGGTAACATGGTGATCCGTAGCGGCTCAAATTCTATGCGTAGCGGTTCCGTTACGCTAAAACAGTCTGGGGAGAACACTGGTATATAGATGATAATAAAGAATGCTGTTTTTGTACACTGAGGTATACGATAATAGTCAATCAATGTATATGTTAATCGGGCGTACTTGTAAATGTATGAGCAGGTGCAAGGTGTACAATGTGACTGGCTGAGTCGTCTTTTTACCTTGGACTTAGGGAGTCCACCACTGTCCTCAGGCTAAGTGTTCATTTGAGGTGGATGCCATTTGTTTCTTCCTCTGGTTTTCTATAACGGCCTTTTCAAGCTTTACTGGAGGTCAATCCAAAGTTGTCAAGGAAGTATCCAGTATCCAGAAAGAAACCCACTGCTGACACCAATGTAACGAGAGTCCGGTGCCCACGTCCCACCGGCCGCCATCGAAACAGTATAGGGGTTCTTGTTTCACCAATGTAGTGTGCTCCGTAGATCCTGGATTATTACGGTCGGATATGTTATACATGTATATTCTCTATGTCAGATCTGATAACAATGGTCAGAAATCACTTGTCAAAAGTCTAATCTGACTATGCGAAAACTCTAAATATCCACTAAGAGCCCAATAGACAGGTACAAATATGATTTTTGAAATAGACAAGTTAATTGCCAAGGTAAATATCAGTATAATAGTACAGTACAAACAAGGCATCAGCACAGTTCCTTGCACCACACAATAATACATGTAATTGGCAAATTGTTCACAACCTCTCCAAGTTATACATACTATAAAAGTATCCCACTACTCACAAGGGCCTATCCTAGGCCACATAAATTCTGCTCTGATATGCAGGCCAGCAAAAATATAAGGAACATACAACTATTGAGACAATTTGTAAGAAATTGACTAATTCTACTATTAATAGCCAAATACATGGATTTCCCGTTATATCTGATGACAATGTCTCTAAAAAGGGTTGGACCTGTCCAGACAGAGGTGACCGTCTGCCAGCGAAGACGGTGATGAACTGAGGAAGAAAAAAGGTCCAATCCGACCTGTACATATAACCTTCAAAATATTATAGTTACTGCTCAGTAGATGTCCGGTGATTAGTCGGTAGAGGTCCGGAGACACTCCTTTCATGTAACAGTAATAAACCTTATCACACACGGCCTCTCATAATATCCGCTCAAACAATAAGTACTTTGTGTTAAAATAATTGTACAGAGTACATAAATACTCCCGGACCTTGCGCAACACCAAATATTTCCTTACAATACCAATCTATATGAAGGTATGTAGATTAAAATGGTTACGTATAGTGTTTATAGTTGTCAGGTGCGTATGACATGCTAGGCTGACCAAAACCCAGAGATTTCATGCTTTGAACACGCCCAGAGAGACTTGGTCGTATAGACTAGTATTGTAAGAAAATATATTATGGTGTTAGGCAAATAGATTGTCTTTATAGTCCTTGTATTCCAAAACACAAGAAAAGGTGTTTTTAGGTAAAAAAAAAAAAAAAAAAAAAAAAAAAAAAAAGAAAAAAAACGATTGTGGGATATGTATGAAACTTTCACAAATCGGATATCATCATATAACTAATATCTATGCAAAGTTGCATGCTTATCCCAAAATACCTTGTATGAACAATCAACCCTTATTACTAGAAATAGGCAGAACAACTGATTAAAATAGGAAATGGGTTAACTTTAAATCAAAACATATACTTTCCTTGAGGCTAGGAGACTTAAAATCACCAGCAAATCAAACTTAATACATCAAATTAAGCGTTTAACAGTACTTGAGATGGCAAATGCCATTTTTTATTTGTTAATTAAGTTTGATAAAAAAAAATTAAAAAAAAATAGGACCTGGAACTTACTTAAGCTACAGGTCTTTAACAAATTTTATATAATATATATAAAATGTAATAAATATCTATTAATTCTTATACTTATAGTATATGAAATGTGTCCTGCACTCAAGATTGAGAGCTATTTGAAATTGTAAAGTTTGAGATTTGTCCAGAAGCCATAACTCAGTATATATGCATTGTATTTAATTTAAGCATACTCAAATTAGTGAAGATATAAATTTTAACTCAAAATATAAATTAGAAAGGACATTATTGAGAGAATAAAACAATTTCCATTTGAAAATTACATACTACAACCCCCTGACTTAATCTTCCTTTTTTATAAACAATCTTTAAGTGACGATTGAATTTCTGCCATTTTTCATTCTTTTATATATGCCTGTTTAATTAACACCTATTTCCAAAACAGAAATGGTATTATTTTGGTTGTTTTAGCTCATTTGAATACAACAAGTTATATTTGTGATTGACTCTACCCCTCTTGGTACCCCAAAAATACACTTTCGGTCTAACGTTTTTCTTAGTTTTGCGCATGTGATACAATAAATCGTCTTTAATTTAAATAAGGAGGTGAAAATCCGGATGTACCGGGCCCAAAAAGGGCCCTATAGACACTCATCCTTTGTCGAAATGTAAAGATAGATCTTCAACTCTAATGGCATACTAAAGTGAGACTCTGCTATACACTACCCCATTTCCCCCGACAATTAATCTGTTTATCGCTACCCTTTTCTTTAGTGGAGTTCCCGACTTTCCTAAAAACCCTACCAACATTTTCTTGTAGGTGCTTGGCACAGAGCATAAATGTGGAGCTTTTGAAATTGTCATAGTCATTTCCTTTTCCTCGTCTATGCCAATTAAAACATTGTCTGTTCTCAGTTTTGCCCTGACGTGACCAAAACAAAAAAGTAACTGTAGGTAGGCTATTCCCAATCCAAATGTAGGATAGTAGGACCTACCATGATCGGGTGATCTCCCGTTTCCCTCTGAGCCACACCTTGATTTGTGTACGACATCGGTGAAACGAAACATTTACCCTAGTTAAAGGTTCGGTCTATGCCGATTACACTCCCTCCCTCACCTACACAATTTGCTTTCATATATGAAAGTTGCTCCTCGGAATACACGATAGTGTTTAGTAGTTTACCTTTCGACAGTTCTACGGTTTGCACATAATAGTCTGTTTTTACCTACATCAACATTTAACAAGTGGTTTTGCCTTTCTGTTGTCCCGGTATTTATTGTCTCTGATCTGTTTATCTGATTTAGGACAAAGTACGGTATTGTCTTTGGCAGCTTCGTAGCAAACCTGTGGTTGGGCGACAGTCTTTGTCTTAGCTAGTGGCACAGTCTTTCAAAATGTTAGAATATGTTCAAGTGTATTCTCCCGTCTGTGTGCTGTTGGCGAAAGGACCTATTAAAGTAGATAATGCCCAGTAGCTGGCATAATGTAAATGAAACTAGACTATATACACATGCGATAACTACTAAAGAGGTGAAGCAGGGTAATATACACAGGTAAATGGGGATTAAACCAAATTGGTATACAAGTCCCTATATATATTGTATAGAGATAAATTGTTAATAATACAATTGGTAAAATGTACACTACATCAATGGGAATGCGTGTAGTCTGGATATATGTAAAACTGGTTCCAATATTTTGTTAAGTGTTAATGCTAAACCTACGCAGCGAAGGCTTCACACGTGTAGGAACGAATAAGCACTACTTTAAGACTGAAAAGTTCACTGCACACATAAAAGCAGGCCACTATGAAGTCACAGTTGGTTTATATACACTGTTTGATGGATTCAATATACCGATGACGAACTGGTTCCAGCGTAGAACACTGTAGAATAAAATGCTCGAGGTCTTCTGCTGCTTCCTTACAAAAGATACTTGCCCTGCCTGAATTTAACCCGGTTACACTGGAAACTATAAGCATCCGACATTATTCTTCATTTGGTTAAAGCTATTCGTACTCCCAGCGTATCGGTAGGCGTAGATTCCAGTACGTGAAAGAAACGGGATATCCTCATGGTGTGGTGGTGGAGATACTCTAATGACGACTTGCCTTTATGGAGTTTCATGATGTGTTCCTTCCAGTATACATCTACAGCTTTCCCAACTTGGTTTTTCCCGTTCTTGTTCGAGGAGGGATTCCCAATAACCTCTAAAGCTGAAGGAAGTTGGTACTGACGTAGGAGTTTGATGATGCGGTCTTGATAGAAAGTTGCCGTTGGGCAATATCCTTCTCAATTAAATCGCGTCGAAGAGGTTTAAAGTTTGCTTGTCGATGAACTCCTCTAACGGAAACTGACCAGCTAGTATATACACCGCTGCACCAGCTGCTCTTGATGGTAGACCAAGGATGTATTTCAGGGTCTTCTTGTGATATAGGTTCATGATAGTCCTATCCTTTTTAGATAAGAGTTGTTGTTTCCAGACCATAGAGCATCCTGGATGGAGTGTATGTGTTTTACTTCTGGATTAACTCCACTAAACCCACATAGGCCGGCACCCATTAGTAAATAGGTTGTTCTACGAGCTAGATGAGTTATATCCTTATCAAGTTTTCAGTTGGATACTTTGTCACTGAGCTCCTGTTAATGTCGAGATGCTTGTAAGTCTGAGTCATTTCCATTGCTTCGTCCTTTGTATATACTTTTACCATAGTATATATTTTCGGTGCATTGGTTTCTATGATCTGGCTTTTGATAGCATTAAGTTTGGCTATACTTGAATCACCTTGTCTGGATGTCTGTGTGGATGTCTACAGTAACTTGTCCGGAGAACTCCCCCTTAACAAACCGGCATTTTCATTTGGGATTTCGACCCTTTTTGATGGAGTTATATGCGAAATACTTGTTTATTTTTGTTTGAATAAAATATTGATTAACTCATTACTGGTGGGAGAATATATTTCTTTGCATTAGTAAGCCTTTAGCCTACAGTCCTGGTTTATATAGAGGCGGGTGTATTAGTTGGCCTTTGGTTTATAGTTCTAGTTAGAGGCTGTCTGCCCTATTTGATAGATTTCCACAACCCGATTTAGGCTTGAAAATCTCTTACATATCTTGGCTGCTAAATACATGTAATAATATATAAAGATGTAGGTGTGGTTTTGCAATATTATTATGATAAAATCTCAACACTGCATTATTTTGAAATATTTATGTATTTGAATAAGGTAGGTGTGAATCACTTAGAGTGATAATATATACAGTACATGTATCAGGAATAAAAACAGTTTGGAAGTTGGAGCCATCAGATAAGATCAGGCTATGTTGAGTCTGTTTACCTCCCTTTAGGTGTTCTGTACAGTTGACTCACACCTGTGATGCATATGTCTTATGGTGGGTGTGCGGTTTATTTCATATGTTGTGTTATCTGACAGGTGTGTCAAGCATCAAGTGTTTCACCTGTAACTACCCTGACGAAAAATGTGGAGACCAGTTTGCCTACACAAATTCTGATGCCAGAAACTGTAAAGGTGCCTGCGTGACGCGAAGAGGAACACGTGAAGGTAATGATGCAACCACTGTGTGTGATAGTCCTGGCTATAACAGAACGTTTAAGGGTTAATATAACCATTGGCAAATTAGCATTGCCTGTGATTTTTGCCATGAGCCTGTTAATTTAAAAGGAAAAAGTGCCGAGGTCAGTGCCTTTTCCAGGAACATACTAGTACATTGTCACATTATATTAAGTTGAGAATAATGTGTTTTGATCAGAATTTCAAATTGCACAATGACCACAGGGCTTCCTGATCATTTATGCTTAAGTTTTCACATATAGCCTCTTAGTACAATAATTTATCAACGTTTGTACAAAGTACTCAACATACTCGGTGATAAGAAGGGAGAAATGTCATTCATTTGATGTTGCCTGTTTATTAATTTATTTCTATTAAAACTGCCTGTAATATTTATTCATAGTTGGATTTATTACTTTGGAGACTAATAGCTGACTAGTAATTTGCAACATTTAATTCAGGCGGACGTTCATTCCTGATGATAGAACTAAAACAGAAAGTTGGATACAGATTCAAGAACCTTTAACTTGGTATCACACATAACCATAACAAAATAACTGAATCTTGCGTGATTATCTTTTCATTGGTGTAGAAAATAAAATGACAATATTTCTTTTCAAAATAACTATTTGTTCTCATCATTTTTTATTGCAATTTTAGAATATAATGATGCATTCAGGTCTACCTTTTTTACAGTTCTGGAAAAAGATTGAAAAAAGATCAGGTAGACAATGAAAGTAAGGATTAATGGAATGCATTATATACACTTAGGAGTCGCTACAGGACAGTTGCCCCTCTGATTCATTCGTCGCGCTATAAAGTGTCATTTACTATGAAAATCACAATGCCCTTTTTGATTCTGTGGGAAATACTATAATGAGACCCGTTACCGTGACCTTTGTTTTGACTAGGCTCGTTTTTGAAGGGGAAAGGAGGGAAAAGTGTAGCACATTACATACGTAGATGTTGACAAACTCATAGAAAGTTGTTAAAAATTTAGAGGGTCATGGTTGAATGTTGTTCTGATCCATAGCTTATCCTACCTGTTACATTTTGTTTGATATGTAGCTAAAATAGCTGTCTTGTTTATAACTAGAGGACCTTTAATCTGTCGTGACTGGTGACCACTTGTGTCATATCAGCATGAAATCAAGGGATTTCAAAGCTTAACTACAGATATTTTATGTTTGAAAAAATATATTACAGATAAACATTGTGTATGATTAGCTTACCTGCTTCAAGGAATATTAAAGAGAAGGAATAGATAAGAGGCCGAGGGCTATGATATTTTGATGTATTATTTTGACAGTATGCTGGAGTAATTGGCTATCAGATTTGTTCTGTAAAATGAGATTGGCTCGCTGTTAAGGTCAAAAGGCCTGGAGTTAGATATGTTAAAACCATGTACTTACGAATAACGAAGAGGCCAAGGGTTAAAATAAATGACATATAATGGAATGAAGTCTATCAAGTTTAATCAAGTTAATAATTTTGATCCTCTGTCTAGGTCGCAGGGGTCTAATGTGTTTTAAATATTGTAAAACAATTCTATGGACTAACAAGGAACCCAATGATCATGTTAATCTACAATAAAAAAAAAGACCTTGAGCTTCTAACAGTTCCCACAGCCAGAGTAAAATATGTTTATGTCTTCCAAGAAAAAAACTTCATATGATAATTAGTGTCCATAGTGTTGGCTTTCTGGTTGTCAAGTATTTAAAATCAATTTGACCTTGACCCACTTTGAACGTCAGACATCATTACGTGTCATTGAGTAACATGTGAGCTATACTAGCCCCTTGGGCCTCTTTAATAGTATAGTTATCTGTCTTCTTCGATAGTATTAAGATATGTTGCACCAGTGTTTATTACTTAATTGAAGTGAAATTTTACAATTTTCTCTATTTTTCTGTTTACTCATAGGTAACAGAGTGGAAGTTTACAGGGGATGTTATTCAAACCGACACACCTCTTGCATCACTTCAGATTATGTTGGAATGAAGGTTAAAGAATGCTATTGTAACGGAAATTACTGTAACCATAGCAACAGTGTTACAGTGTCTGCTGTAAGTTTAGTCATTACCTCCATCACCGTTCTGTACAAATTGTTATGATGGTCCAACACCGCAAGTTAAGCAACCAGAGGTATATTACATAAATTCTGTGCCATACAGGTAGCCCCATAGTCTGAGGCTAGGAGCTTCGAGATTTCCCATTAGGACTAGTGGTTTCAAAAACGCCTGGCTTACTGATAGCAAAACTTAACATTTCATCATGTTGAGTAATATTGAGTGAGTGGAGTTCGCTCTTAGACTAGTAAAATTGGAAACGACTAGCCCGACGGACTGGCGGTTTTTAAAATAAATTTCTAGCCCTGTAAGCTCGAAACTTCTTGTAATGCGGGTTTGAAATTTCTTTGTAATTTAAATACATATCATTTCCCATTTATGTCGTTAAATAATGAAGTTTAAGAAAAATACAAATTGAATTTGTGTGAAATTAAGAAATTTACGAATATTTTATTTTGTAGATTACATATCAATTATATTTATGTGATTGAATAATGTGGTTTAAAAAAATATTTAATCGAATGTTTGTTAAATTTTGGATTTTATTTTACGATTGCATAATATAGTTTGAACTTGAAAAATGCGATGTTTGTGATGTTTCGTAATTTTGGCATAAATCATTGTTTAAGTTAATAGTGAAATGCTCATAATGCTATTAAATTATTGCATTGTCAATCATTACATGACTACTTAATTGATATACAAATATGTAAGTTCCTTGAACACATCAATCTTACGTTGTTATTGCCTTCATTCCTTGTGATTTTGACTTGTGTTCTGGTAGATTTCTCTTCTTCCTATCGTAAGACTATTGACTATTGATAATGACTATTTTCAGTTCTCAGTGCAGTTTTACTGTCTATAATCAAATAGCCACCAACAGTTACTATGTAGTCAAAGTATTTCAAATGTTTTCATCACTTGGCAAATGTATATAAAGTCCAAGATACAAAATCACAAGAATGTCTGCAGTAAGCTCAGTGTCCACTTACACAAAGTATGTTCAAGCGTATAGACGATAGATTTTAAGCAAAAATTCTAGAAAATGAAATGATTCCTTACAGTGTAGTATGATATACTTGTATACGTACATAGAAGATATTTGGCGATCAATGGTTGTGATATCTTTTAATTGCAACAAAGACATTCAGGGACACTGCCTTATACTTGACACATATAGTTTTTGTTAGAGTTATCTCCCTTGTAAACTTCGAGAATTACCATGTTCAATGTACCACCATTTAGTTACTCAAGTCCACAATATCATTCCTAAATATGCTCATCAATTTTCTTAGTAGGGAACTGTAAGGTATAATGTATCATTAGTTATTTGTTTGTATTTGAATATGAAAGTGTAGATATTTTTGTTTTACTACTCACTTTTGTGGTCTTTTCTCAATATTGGGTTAACTATGCATAACCATGGTTGATAGATATTATTTCAAGGTACAATCTTCAACACTTTCTACAAAAAAAAATACTTTTTATTCCATTTTTGATACCTTTTTTTATTTGTAAAACTGTGTTACATGAAAATGTTGTTCCATTAGCAAAATGCTACTAAATAGTAGAAGAGAGTAGTCCCTGTTAACTAAGTACACTGTTATAGGTTGTCACACCACATGGTTATGGGGTCACTCACTCCCCCTGTTATAGGTGAGATGTCGGACCACAGGGATCTGGGGTCCCTCACTCCCCCTGTTATAGGTGAGATGTCGGACCACAGGGATCTTGGGTCACTCACTCCCCATGTTATAGGTGAGATGTCGAACCACAGGGATCTGGGGTCACTCATTCCCCCTGTCATAGGGGAGATGTCACACCACAGGGATCTGGGGTCCCGCACTCCCCCTGTTATAGGTGAGATGTCGGACCACAGAGATCTGGGACCTTCACTCCCCCTGCTATAGGTGAGAGATGTCCCACCACAGGGATCTTGGGTCACTCACTCCCCCTGTTATAGGTGAGATGTCACACCACAGGGATCTGGGGTCACTCACTCCCCCTGTTATAGGTTGTCACATCACAGGGATAGGGGGTCCCTCACTCTCCCTGTTATTGGTTTTCACACCACAGGGAATTGGGGTCCCTCACATTCCCCGTTATAGGTGAGATGTCACATCACAGGGATCTTGAGTCCCTCACTCCCCCTGTTATAGGTGAGATGTCGGACCACAGGGATCTGGGGTATCTCATTCCCCCTGTTATAGGTTGTAAATTATTATATCAGTTTTTATATATTTTACATAATGTCAAAATCCTGTTGATGCAAGATGTTTTTTATATATAGAATGTAATGTGACTAGATAGTATTTGTTTTCTGATGTAAGATATTGTACATTATTGAAAGAAGGTTAACCTCTCCTGTACCAGAGTATTGTAAGTTTTGTTTTAAGATGTTTTACAACAAGCATATTTGTGCAAATAAAGTGCTGTAATCGTTAGTGATGTATTTATTTATTTTACTTGGTCTGTAACCCAAACTTATATTTTCTAAAGATAAGGTAACTAAAGTATTGGTCAGCAAGGGCCATGCCACGTGTCTGACGGTAAATAAACCCCATTATCAACAATAAAAACCCACAACATTCGTTTGGTTTCCAGATATAGTGATGTGCCATGATTCGCGTAAGCTATATATACCTACAAAGTAAATAGTAGCATTCACTACCAAGCAGAGACATATAAAGATGCAGCATTGAACGTCTCTGCACCAAATGTGAACAAAATTGTGCCAATGGAAGTCACTAGTTTGCAAAACCATAATTTGCCTACAAATCAAATTTGAGCAAAGCCACGCTATATTAATTTTCGACAAATCAGAAGGCTCTGTGTGGTTTCCATGGTGACTGATCGAAAAATACACAGCCTTTCATTCACAAACACTCCTATATTTATTAAGGTGTCGAAAACACCCAAAGCAGATAAAAGTGGTAGCAAATAAAACTACCTGTGCGATCGTAAATATTGCGGAAAATAAACCAACGGAAGCATTTTTAAAGCAGCCTTCTTATCTTACAGAAAATCTGAAATCTCAGTAGAGTTTGTAGTGTCATTTAACTCTTGATTTCTAAATTTGATAGAAAACTTATTTCGACCAATCAGAAGGCAGTTAACGGCGGCCACCTTGTTCAATAGGTAAATGAATGTCGGGATGGACTAAATTTATTCTAATTAGAAATATTAATCGGGCAGAAACAGAAATCCAAAGTAAGTTCGGTTCCCTGTCCTATTTATAGTTGCATTGACCTTGACTTTGGCCTAAAAAAATATATTCATTTTCTTATATATGAAATGTTTCAGTAAAATCATTTATGTAATATAAGTCCCGGGTTTTAGTATCCTGTCAATATAAAAATGCTTTCACTGTTTTACTGAACTCACAAACAATGTATGTATCACATTGCTTGTAACACGTTTAATACGTACATCGTCTGTGTATAAAGTAAAACTTATTAAAGATGTTTCGTAGTTATGTTTTGACGTAGGTATTATCACAGACTTGGATAGCGTGTCGGTCGGAGTCGAAATGATGACACTGAGAAGCGCTTGTTTTTTTCCAATTCATTATGTTGTATTTAAGAATCCCACAGATTTTTTCAAGTGCAATAAACCAAAGTTTGTAAACAGATAATATATATATATAAATGTCCTTTATGAGTTTATCGGTAGTCTGAGAGAAACCCTCTCGAGATGGACTCGGTCGAATGAATTTTTCTAACTATCTATACCTTAGATACGTATACGTGTCCACGTTGATTAGTGTAACAAGTGTCAATATTTATCAAATATATAGATAGATATGGATAGAGCAACAACTTGATGAATATGTTTGGAATTATCACGGGTTCAGAGCTTTGGTCCATGGTGCCCGATAGAGGAAATTCGATCCGTACCTGGAAACGAATATCTGATACTAATAATAAATACCGCTATCAGTGACATATATCTCACTATGGACAGTATGCTTTTGTTCTCCCTGCAATAAGTGGCCGTCCTATAATTATGAAATTATATCATTAACAATTATGTATCTTTACCGTCTCACTGAAAAATGTGTCCTTTTTAATATTTCATCACATTAATCAATACAGTTTATTTTTATTTTAACAGATTTCACGTGGGTCAGACAATCAATTAATTGGCTGAGGTCGATACCTGGATTTATCGAACCGAGAAAAGAAATATTAACTGCGAGGTATCGACCGAAGTTAAAGGCTACAATTGTTTTATTATTTTCAAAACAGTAATGTATAATTAAGCAATCTGAAAACAAAAAATCTACTGAATTTTTAAAAACACCCTGTCCTTCAAAAAAAAATCACGCGCTCCAAGTCAATATCGGTTTTTATCGGTGGACACGCAATGAACTTCTGGCAAACCACTTGTCGGGAATAATATGAAAATAAAATAAAATTGATTATACCACCTTTATGTTCATTTTCATTACACTTTATTTAAGCTCTTGACGGTGATGGTGAGTGCAATATTTCGCAATAAACGATAAAACATGTTTTCAATGTAATAATGTCACATATAACAAAAATGATATTTTGTTTTCTAGTTCTACTGGTATTTCTATGCGAGTTACTTCCCTTGCATTGCATACAGTGCACAAGCATGCATAATTGTTTGCACTGGTACGATCGACTTGACATTTTGCATGTACACAGGTAAGGTTACATATTGTATGAATCAGAAGATAAAGAAGGTTGGGAAATATCTTAACTAATTCCTTGGCGCGCGAGTACCTCCCTGGACTCTCTTTGGACTCTCTTTGGACATCCATACCTTCCTGGGCACTCATTAGGGTAACCGTACCTGTGACTGTTTACTTCCTGTTCATTTCCTGATCGACTGCTTACCTTCCACACCGACGTAGACTGTAGAGAGTGTTGTACGAGAATGGAGAGGTGGCTCGCTTCACTTCTTTTATTGTGTTTGTTCTTCATTGTTGGTAAGTTTAAAATACATTATTTGTAGCTATAATTATCAATAAATCACAGGTACATGTATGTCCAGGTGTTGAAAATCTGACTGTAAATTGAGATATATATCATACAAAATAAGGGCATTACTATAAACACGGAATCTAAGTCCGTGCTATAAAAGAGCAGTAATGTTGTGGGTTTTTTTTATAGTAATGCCATATTTTTTTATAACATTTATCTCAATTTACAGTCAGAATTTCAACACCTGTGGTGCACAGGGGTTCGTTACAAACACGGGCACACAACTACTTTTATTATTTGTCATTTTCAGTCGCTGGGTACGTTATTACGATATGACGTAATGTACCAGCGACTGAAAGTCTAACAAGATCAATACTGATAGAAGTTGCGTGTCCCGTGTTACAAATGTGTGTTGCAACACTGATATGGGTGCACGTGACAGCACATATTTAACTTATGTTTTCAACAAAAGGACCTTTTTCACATATAATGTCGATATGCTATAATTACATGGCTCACATCACGCCTAAACATATGTTTAGGTGCGCTGTGACCCATTTGTCTATCACTAGCAAAGGTGTATGTTTATATGAGACATTTGTAATGAACCCCTGTGTATGGCGTGCATAAATGCTTTTCTTACCAAAAATGAATCAACAGGTTTCTATCTACCAAAGCCCTGACTTATATAATCTCAACTCTGGATTATTTTGAAATATATATTTATTTCAGTAAGCTAGGTGTTTATCACTAAGAGTTTCAGTATGTACAGTACATGTATCAGAAATGAAAACAGTTTGGAATTTGAAGATTAGGTTAAGATGATTCATCTCCCCTTAGGTGTTTTGTACAGTTGACTCACATGTACACCTGTGATGCATATGTCTTATGGTTGATGTACAGTTTTATGTCACATGTTATGTTACCTGACAGGTGCCGCAAGCATCAAGTGTTACAGCTGTAACTACCCTGACGAAAAATGTGGAGACTATTTTGCCTACACAAATCCTGATGCAAATGACTGTCAAGGTAGCTGTGTGAAGCGAAGAGGAACACGTGAAGGTAATGATGCACCACTGTGTGTGATAGTCCTGGCTAGATCAGAAAGTTTGTAAGTAAGGGTCAATATAACTGTGGCAGGTTTTAATTGTACATAGGATTAAGGTCGCCTTCTAGCTTCGAGTTAGATGGAATTTCCCTTTAGCTCAGTGGTAAAGCGTCCAACTAAGAACCTGGAGATCGAGGGTTCAATCCCAGGTGGAAGCACACTATTATCTTTCCTGTTACAAATGGTGTCCGTGGCCCTCCCTGTAGTGACAGGGAGTTAGAACCTGGGTTGTGGTGTTCGATGGCGAACACATTTAAAAAGGGGGGAGTAGTGTGGCGGGTTTTAATTGTACATAGGATTGAGGTCGCCTTCGGAGCTAGAGGGAATTCCCCCTTAGCTCAGTGGTAGAGCGTCCGACTAAGAACCTGGAGATTGAGGTTTTGATCCCCGGTGGAAGCACACTATTTCTTTCCTGTTACCTTATATAACCATTGGTAACATGCACACTAGCATAGCTAGTGCCTGTTAAAAGGAAAAAGTGCCGAGGATGAGTGCCTTTTCCTGAAACGTATTACATATATTGCCAAATTAGAATAAGTTGTAATGAATGAGTTTTTATCAGAATTTCTTCTCATCGTTTTAAATTGTACAAGGATCACAGGGCTTCTTGCATTTGATTACCTATGCTTAAATTTCACATATAAACTCTTAAAAAAATCAATAAACTATCATAATGTACCTGTTAAAGGCAACCTTTGTACAAAGCACTCGTTAATGAGACTCCTTACCTTAACCTTTGTTTTAACTAGGATTGTTGTGTTTGAAGGAGAAAGGAGGGAAACGTGAAGCAGATTTATCATTACATAGCTATAGGAAGATGTAAAATTTAGAGCATCATGGTTGAATGTTCTGCTGGTCTATAGTTTATCCTACCTGTTACACTTTGATATTTTATTTACAGCTAGAGGATCTTAACCCTATCAACACAGTTAACCATAATGGACTCATCCAGATAAATGCATGGTTGAGTCTACTAAATTTATATAGGGGTGAAAGGGTTAATCTGTCATGACTGTTGACCACTTGTGTCATATCAGTATGAAATCAAAGGTTTTCAGGTTTTGACTACAAATATTTCATGTTTGAAGAAATAAATATATTACAGATATACATTGTGTATGATTAGTTTACATGCTTCAAGGAATATTAAAGCGAAGGAATAGCCAAGAGACCGAGGGTTATATTTTGATGGACCGGTATGCTTTTGGCAGTATGCTGGAGTAATGGGCAATTAGATTTGTTCAGGAAAGTGACTTTGACTAGCTTTTAAGGTCAAAAGGCCTGGAGTCAGATATGTTAAAGCCAATTTCTTAAAATAATAACGGAATGAAGTCTATCAAGTTTCTTCAAATTAATTACTTTGACCCTCAGTCAGGGTCACAGGGGTCAAATGTGTTTAAACAAATTGTTAAGAAAATTCTTTGGACTGACACGGAACACAATGGTCATGATAATCTCAAATAAAAAAGGACCTTGTGCTACTAACAGTTCCCACATCCAGAGTAAAATATGTTTATATCTTTCAAGAAAGATTCTTCATTTGTGGAGTAATGATAATAAATGTTCATAGCGTTATCTTTCTGGTTGTCAAATGCAAGTATTTTAAAATCAATTTGACCTTACCACTTTGAACGTCAGACATCATTACGTGCCATTGAGTAACAGCTAGGTGAGCTATACTAGCCCCTTGAGCCTCTTTATAGTATACTAGTGATAATATTACCTAATTGAAGTGAAAGTTTACAATTTTCTCTATTTTTCTGTTTACTTACAATTTTCTCTATTTTTCTGTTTACTTACAGGTGGCGGAGTGGAGGTTTACAGGGGATGTAACACACAGAAAAACACTTATTGTACCCAATCAGATTATGTTGGAATGAATGTTCGAGAATGCTATTGTAACGAGGATTACTGTAACCATAGCAACAGTGTTCGAGTGTCTGCTGTCAGTTTAGTCATTGCCTTCATCACCGTTCTGTACAATTTGTTATGATTGTCCAACACAGCACATTAATCAACCAGAGGTATATTACATAGTTCTGTGCCATACAGGTAGCCCCAAAGTATGAGACTAGCGGAATTTCCAACTGGACGAATGGTTCTAAAAACCACAGGTCTGGCTGACTAATCAAAACTTGATATTTTTCATCATGGTAAATGAAATCGGGTTGGTGAATTTTGCATATAGACTAGTAAGAAACTTCTAGTCTGACTGACTATTACTTTATAAAATGAATTTCTAGCCCTGCATGCTCAAAACACCTTGTAATTTTGGTTTAAATTCTCTTTGTATTTTAATTACATATCACTCACATTAATGTTGTTTAATAATGAAGTTTAGCAAATCATATAAATTGAATGTTTGTGATATTTGAAAATTTAGGAATGCTTGTTTTGGGAGATTACATATCATTAACATGTATGTGCTTGAATGATCGACTTTAAAAAATCATAAATTGAATGTTTGTGATATTGAGTAATTTTGGAATTTATTTTTAAAAGATTACATATCAGTAACATTTTTATGGTTGAATAATGTAGCTTGAATTTTGAAAATTCAATGTTTGTGATGTTAAGTGATATTGGTATAAACTAGTTTTGGAGATAACATATCATTTAAAGTTATGAGGTTGAAAAATGTATTTATAAGATAGTGAAATGCTCATGAAACTGTCAAATTGTTTTATGATCAATCATTACAAGACTATTTAACTAAGAAACAAGTCTGTAAGTTCCTTGAACACATCAATCTTACATTAGTATTGCCTTCATTCCTTGTGATTTTGACTCGTGTTCTGGTAGATTTCTCTACTTCCTGTTGTTAGATAAAATGATAATGACAATTTTCACAATTCTCAGTGCAGTTTTACTTTCTATAACTATGCATAGCCACCAAAAAATGACTTATGTAATGATAGAATTTCAAATATTCTCGTCACTTGGCAAATGTATATAAAGACTAAGATACAAATTCACAAGAATGTCTGCAGTAAGCTCAGTCAGTATTTTCCACTTCCTCATGTTTAAGTGGGTGGAATTTTAAAACTTGAAATATATCTAGATTTTAAGCAAAATTTCAGGAAATGAAAATATTTCACATAGTGTAGTATGATAAACTTGTATATGTATATAGAAGATATTTTGTGATATTTTTTAAATGCAACAAAGACTTTCAGGGATGCTGCCTTTTACTTGACATATATCGTTTTTGTGAGAGTTTTCTCCCTTGCAAACTTTTACTCCCAAAAATTATGATCTTCAATGTTCCCCCCTTTCAGTAAATCAAGTCCACAATATCATTCCTAAATATGCTCATCAAGTTTCTTAGCAGGAAACTGTAAGGTATAATGTATCATAAGTTATTTGTTTGTATTTGAATATGAAAGTGTAGAGTTTCTAGTTTTACTACTCACTTTTGTGGTCATTTCTCTACGTTGGGTTAACTATACAAACTTAAAACATGGTTGATAGATATGTTTACAAGGTAAAATTTTCAATACAGAATTCTTAATGTATTTCACTTTCTACAAAACATTCCTTTTTATTCCATTTTTGATTACATGAAAATATTGTTTCATTAGCAAAATGCTACTGATCTAGTAGTAGAGAGTAGTCCCTGTTAACTAATTACATTGTGTATAGATGTCGCACGACAGGGATCTGGGACCTCCACTCCCCCTGTTATTGGTGAGATGTCGGACCACAGGGATCTGAGGTCACTCACTCCCCCTGTTATAGGTGAGATGTCACACCACAGGGATCTGGGACCTTCACTCCCCCTGTTATAGGTGAGATGTCACACCAAAGCGATCTAGGATCACTCATTCCCCCTATTATAGGTGAGATGTCACAACTCGGGGATCTGGGTCCTTCACTTCCCTGGTTATAGGTGAGATGCCACACACAGGGATCTTGGGTCCCTCACTCCCCATGTTATAGGTGAGATGTTGGACCACAGGAATCTGGGTCCTTCACTTCCCTGGTTATAGGTGAGATGTCGGACCACAGGGATCTGAGGTCACTCACTCCCCCTGTTATAGGTGAGATGTCACACCACAGGGATCTGGGACCTTCACTCCCCCTTTTATAATTGAGATGTCACACCAAAGCGATCTAGGATCACTCATTCCCCATGTTATAGGTGAGATGTCACACCAAAGCGATCTAGGATCACTCATTCCCCCTATTATAGGTGAGATGTCACAACTCGGGGATCTGGGTCCTTCACTTCCCTGGTTATAGGTGAGATGCCACACACAGGGATCTGGGGTCCCTCCCTCCCCTTGTTATAGGTGAAATGTCATACCACAGGGATCTTGGGTCCCTCATTCCGCCTGGTATAGGTAAGATGTCACACCACAGGGATCTGGGGTCCCTCACTCCCCCTGTTATAGATTGTCACACCACAAGAATCTAGGGTCCCTCACTCCCCCTGTTATAGGCGAAATGTCCGACCACAGGGTTCTGGGTCCTTCCCTCCCCCTGTTATAGGTGAGATGTTCCACCACAGGGATCTAGGGTAACTCATTCCCACTGTTATAGGTGAGATGTCACACCACAGGGATATGGGTCCTTCACTCCCCCGGTTATAGGTGAGATGTCACGCCACCGGGATCTAGGGTCCCTAACTCCCCATGTTATAGGTGAGATTTTGGACCACAGGGATCTGGGGTCCCTCCCTCCCCTTGTTATAGGTGAAATGTCACACCACAGGGATCTCTGGTTCCCTCACTCCCCCTGTTATAGGCGAAATGTCCGACCACAGGGTTCTGGGTCCTTCCCTCCCCCTGTTATAGGTGAGATGTTCCACCACAGGGATCTAGGGTAACTCATTCCCACTGTTATAGGTGAGATGTCACACCACAGGGATCTAGGGTCCCTCATTCCCCCTGTTATAGATGAGATTTGTGTAGACGAGATGTCACACCACAGGGATCTGGGATTACTCGATCCCCCTGTTATAGGTGAGATGTCGGACCACAGGGCCTCGGGTCCCTCACTCCCCCTGTTATATGTGAGATGTCACACCAAAGGGATCTGGGATCACTCACACACCCTGTCATAGGTGAGATGTCGAACCACAGGGTTCTGGGTCCTTCACTCCCCCTGTTATAGGTGAGATGTCGGACCACATGGATCTGGGGTCACTCATTCCCCCTGTTATTGTAAATTATTTTAACAATTTTTGTACATAATTTAAAAATCCTGTTGATGCAAGATGTTATTATATAAAATGTAATGTGTTTACGATGTAAGATATTGTACATTATTTAAAGAAGGTTAACTCTTCCTGCTATATAATATTTTTGTAAGTTTTGTTTAAGACATGTTAGCACTAGCATGTTTCATCCCATATGAGTTGTACAGACAAGTTTAGGTAATGCCATACTTAATGTTGTATCATACATAAACACATGTGTGCCTATGCCATACTGCGGCGTCCGTCAACGTTTTCTTTGGAACGACTTCTTCTGAATAACTGGAGTACCTAGGGTCACAACATTTGACCAGAAAGTAGATTGGAAAGAGTGCTAAAGAGTTTCCTCATTAAAATGACCTTGATCTACTTTCAAGGTCACAGAGGTCAAATATGTTTAAAACTTAAAACAACAATATTTAAAGGACCATTAGGACTAGAGTCATAATACTTGGGTATGTTTTGTAGACCAGCAGTGCAAATCTGTTTCTTTATTACAGTAATGAGGTCAAAGGTCAACTTTAAGTGCTAGTCAGGGGTCAAAGGTCAACATAGGTTAAAAGCTTTAACAATCTTCTCAAGTTCAATAAGGCCCAGGGTCATGATATTTGGCCAGTAGATACCTGGGATGGAATGCTATTAAGTTTCTTCATTAAAAAGTTCAAGCAACAATATCCTAAGAATCGTTTGGACTAGAGTCCTAATACTTGGGTGTGTTATGTAGACCAGCTGTGTGAATATTTTTCTTAATAACAGTAATGAGGTGAAAGTTCAACTTTAAGTGCTAGCTTGAGTCAAAGATCAACGTGGGTTAAAATCTTTGAAATTAAAATTACAAACAACAGCATCTGAATAACCGTTTAAGAGATATTAAAATGTCTTGTGTTCTAGTTACCAAATTTAGTCTGAAGCTATCTTTATGTCAGTTTTATGTAACAAAAGAAACAGGTGAGAGAAACAGTCCCTTTCGGCCTCTTGTTGTTAGGTGTCATAGTACAGAAACAGAAATTGATAATTGATTTCACTTCATTTTTGACAAACATACAGATAACATAAAGTATGTTCTATTCTATTAATAAAATTGCTTTTCCATTATAGTAATAAGTTTTGTGTAAATTTTATTGACTTGTCTCAAATAAACAAACTAAAATGGTTGATGACTTAGTAGAACATCATTGTGTTATTAGTCTGTGATTTGTACATTTTTTTTAACAAAAGACATAATTGATCTAAACCCAAATGGAAGTGTATCATCAGCAGTGGCGTTTCCAGAAGGTTTTTTTGGGCTTCAGGAACCCCCGCCCCCCNTCTCAATTTTTCCCCACATTGAAACCCCCCTCCCCAGAAAGGTCTCTGGATCCGCCACTGTGACATACATAGCTTTAGAGGTTCTTAGCACAGAGACACTTTTACAAATACTTGTTTATGCATGTATTAACGAAAGTACCAGTAAGTTAGTGTTCAGCAGCGAAAATGTCTTGCCACGACTAGTCTCGTATTATAATTAAAGGGGGGTAATACTCCCCTTTATATCGGAGTAGTCGCCTTTGCTACAACACAGAGTTTTCGTTCCTTGCACTCACTTTCTCGTTTACGGAAAGTGCCGACGGTTCCAGATTGTTACATGTGAGTGAGTGCAAAGGACGACAATTCAGGGTAGATATTGATTTGATTGTCCATCACATTTTATGTTACACTTTGTTAATTACAAATGTTACATGTTACGCCTCATTTGGGCCTCTCTTTTTTTTGCAAATAAAAACTGTATCATGTGCCTAGGTGAAGACTTGTTTATTTCTGTGTCTTGTATGTTGGTATATATTTCTTCAGCCATTAAAGATATGATACCTGACATTTTAATCAATTTGATTTGGAAGTGATTTCTTTTATAGCGCAGACATGTGCTTTTCATTTTTGGAAATACCTCAAAAAATGTAACGAGACAAAACATTTTTGTAAATAAAATTGTTTAATTGTTATAGTGTTGTAAATTTGTTTCATGAAACCCAAACCACGGAATAGCTTATTGAAGTTCGTGCCCAAAGAAAAGGTAACTAAAGCATTGGTAAGCAAGGGTCATACCACGGTGTCTGACCGTAAATAAACCCTATTATCAACAGGAGAAACCCACAACGTTCGTGTTGGCTTTTTAGATATAGTCGATGTGCCATGATTCACGCACAGGGGCTCGTTACAAATGTCTAAAGTACACATTTGCTCCCACTTTATGCTGTGTTGGGGGTTTCCGACACCCCTCTCAAAGGCATAAAGAAATGTGTACGAGTGTTTGTGCATAATCTGCTGTGTATTTTTCTTACAAAACACACATCTTCATTTTGTTTGAATGACAAAATGATATAATTTTCGAATAGCATGTCTTATACGTGTATTGCGATCCTTACTTTGTGCAGCAGTCTTCCTGCATATCAAACGAATGAGACTATCCTCAACGATGAATTTTTCCGTATTTTCGGTAATATATTTGCAATAATAACTGCAACTATGGTGACCGATAGTGCGGACATAAACTTTATATACATGTATTATGCGGTGTTTAATGCAAAAAAAAACATCAAATAAGATCAACTTTCAAAAATGAAAGGAATATCAAGTGTTGGTTATCATTAGATTCCATATATATATATATATTTGGTTTAACAAAAATAGCTGATCGGTGGAAGTTGAACGTTTCAAAGTATGTGTGTTGGCTGGAGTTCTGGCTGTTCCCTTTTTTATAGTTTTCTTGTCCGATACTAATATCAAAAATCATAAATTTGCAAAAAAAGTGTTGTAACTTTTTTACTGTAGTTCACCGTTACGTAAATATATGAATTGAATGGATATTTTTTTTTCATGTACATTTCGGCAATGAATAGCAGTAACTGATCTATATATCTTCTGCGGAGCGCTAAAAGCATAAATGGGGTAGGTACACTGACGATATAGAAAGAATATCTGCATAGCATCCCAACCCCAATTTCGGCTAAAAGAGACTTACGAGGAGACCATTAAATACAACGTTGATGAAAAAAAGGAGAAGGACTTGCAAAAGACCAACCGGTATTTTAATCTGTAAATGAGCTTTCAAAGACAGCCATATGTTATGTCCAGCAAACGCTAAATCATTTTACTTCAGTATGCGTTAAGCGCAGGTGTAGAGACATATTTCTGACAGCACTGTTTTGTGTTACGTGTCTTTATGACAACGCTATGTCACGTGACTTGTCTTTCTGACAGAAAGGCATGAACCTGTATGGCATATTTACTGGTGTCATGAACCTATTTGACTTATTTACTGGTGGCATGAACCTGTATGGCATAGTTACTGGTGTCATGAACCTATGTGCCGTATTTCCTGGTGGCATGAACCTGTATGGCATATTTCCTGGTGTCATGAACCTATGTGCCGTATTTCCTGGTGGCATGAACCTGTATGGCATATTTACTGGTATCATGAACCTGTTTGACAGATATACTGGTGTAATGACCCTGTATGACATATTTCCTGGTGTCATGAACCTATGTGGCGTATTTACTGGTGGCATGAATCTGTATGTCATATTTATAGGTGTCATGAACCTATGTGACGTATTTACTGGTGCCATGAACCTGTATGGCATATTTACTTGTGTCATGAACCTATGTGACGTAGTTACTGGTGGCATGAACCTGTATGGCATAGTTACTGGTGTCATGAACCTATTTGACTTATTTACTGGTGGCATGAACCTATGTGACGTATTTACTGGTGTCATGAACCTGTATGGCATATTTCCTGGTGTCATGAACCTATGTGACTATTTACTGGTGGCATGAACCTGTATGGCATAGTTACTGGTGTCATGAACCTATGTTACGTATTTACTGGTGGCATGATCCTGTATGGCATATTTACTGGTGTCATGAGCCTATGTGACGTATTTACTGGTGGCATGATCCTGTATGGCATATTTACTGGTTTCATGAACCTATGTGACGTATTTACTGGTTGCATGAACCTGTATGGCATATTTCCTGGTGTCATGAACCTATGTGGCGTATTTACTGGTGGCATGAACCTATGTGACGTATTTACTGGTGGCATGATCCTGTATGGCATATTTACTGGTGTCATGAACCTATTTGACTTATTTACTGGTGGCATGAACCTGTATGGCATAGTTACTGGTGTCATGAACCTATTTGACTTATTTACTGGTGGCATGAACCTGTATGGCATATTTACTGGTGTCATGACCCTGTATGACATATTTGCTGGTGTCATGACATTGTATGACATATTTACTGGTGTCATGAACCTGTATGACATATATAATGGTACATTACTGTTTTCACTTTCTCCCTCAACACAATTAGTAAACTGTTATCGTCCATTACAAAAGCACATTGATGCAATATTGATTTGAATCATGAAACAAGTCATAAACCTATCGCTTGTTTGGTCTGGATAGAACCCTGATAGTTTCGGTGAAAGACTAGTTTAACACGGTGAGCCACCCAACTTAATCTAACGAATGTAAATCCATGAATCGTTAACCACGATTTATAACCGAACTGGAATTTTTGTTTTTCAAATCTCAAAATGCAACGTACTGTACATGACAGATTATTTTTTTATATACATTTTCAAGAGTATTCATCAATAGATATATAAACATTCTCGGAGACCTTTTGGGGTATCCTTTAGTGTCCCCTTTCCGGATGTTTCGTGAGTTCATGACCGATCCACTGTCGTGTCTATTCACAATGCATTATGTCATTGTGCAAATAGCTTGTCTGCTCTGCTATCGTATCGCAATCTACACCTATAAAAAGATACTTCTACGAATGTCGTCATCTGTTCAAGCGGTACTCCGCTGTATGGACCAGTATTAACTTTGAGATAAATACTCGAGAGTTTTTAGTGATAGGATAAAGAAGTGTTTTAGCCGGGACCGGAGAAATACTTTGAGTAAAACGGGATCTTCGAGTTATAGGAGTTCGAAGTAACGAAGTTTCACTTTAATAACAAATGATATTTCATTATATCTGACAAATTTTATTTTAGACTGTTGAACACTACAAGCTAGCTATCTACCATGGGTTATCGGTGGCTGTCAGTAGTAATCTTACTGACCAATGCTGTTTACATTGGGTGTTTTTTACCTAGCCGATCTTCCACCACCCTGTCCGATACCTACACTCACGCTGACATCACCAAGGCAGGTGTAACTAGGGCAGTGGCCAATTTTCTGACTGATCATGGACTGGTGAATGGAACACACACAGATTCTGACAAGGCCCTAAAAACCTATTTTGGATCAGGTTGGTATAGTTTCATGCTCTTTTTGCCAGATATTTCTGTTGACTAGACATCATTCAACGGTGAAAACATCATAATGTAAAATGAATGAAAAGCTATTGGCACCTTGCTGTTCCGTCAATATTGTATCCCTGGTGATGATATGGTATCCCTGGTGATAATATGGAACCCCTGGTGATGACATGGTATCCCTGGTGATGATATGGTATCCCTGGTGATAATATGGTATCCCTGGTGATGATATAGTATCCCTGGTGATAATATGGTATCCCTGGTGATGATATGGTATCCCTGGTGATGATATAGTATCCCTGGTGATAATATAGTATCCCTGGTGATGCTATGGTATCCCTGGTAATGATATAGTATCCCTGGTGATGCTATGGTATCTCTGGTGATGATATAGTATCCCTGGTGATAATATAGTATCCCTGGTGATGATATAGTATCCCTGGTGATAATATAGTATCCCTGGTGATGATATAGTATTCCTGGTGATAATATAGTATCACTGGTGATGATATAGTATCCCTGGTGATGATATAGTATCCCTGGTGATGCTATGGTATCCCTGGTAATGATATGGTATCCCTGGTGATGATATAGTATCCCCGGTGATGATATGGTATCCCTGGTGATGATATGGTATCCCTGGTGATGATATAGTATCCCTGGTGATGCTATGGTATCCCTGGTAATGATATAGTATCCCTGGTGATGATATAGTATCCCCGGTGATGATATGGTATCCCTGGTGATGATATGGTATCCCTGGTGATGATATAGTATCCCTGGTGATGATATAGTATCCCTGGTGATGATATAGTATCCCTAGTGATACACTCACAATGCGCATCATACTGTATAGTTTGAGTGTTAAAAGTCAATATTTAGATAGAACGGTATTTGTACTGTTATGTTGACTCACGTTCATATGCAGTCAAGTGTGATGAAGCTAAAGATATAGGCAGCTGAGTTCAAATGTTGCATGTTTATATTTCAACAATAAAATACTGTTTTATTTCAGTTTAACTGCTGGTTCTAATCCAGTCTGATTAATTTACATCTCCTCATTATACTTTGAGGTATCGATAGTAGAACGATAGTACAATGAGGAACTGTACTTTTCAGATTGGTTCTAATCGCGGTTTTCGCTGTAACAATGAAAAGCAAGTTAATCCATCACAACCGAGACACTCTATGCCATTACCACTACACCTGAAATCAATGAAAAAAATATCCCGCGAAATTGTTTACTTTTGCAAAACTGCGAATATGAAATACAGCAAAAAATGACTTTTACAGTATATGTCTTTCAAAGTTCATTTTGTTTTTGTTTAAAGTAATTTTATATGACTCCTATGGACAGTCGTCTGCTCATTCTAGTGACTTATTGTTAATTTTATGCTTACCATGATTGCTGTAAAATATAATTCATTTTAAATTACCGATGTAAATGTTCTTTTTGCCATTTGTAGTGTTATAAATTTGAACAAGTAAAAGATGAAGTTAACGTTATAAACATATTTAAAATATTAAAACGTTTGCAATAGCATTGATTGTGTCTGTGTTGCTGAGTAATTAATTAGTCGGCGTAGTCTGAATTCTAAAGTTCATAATTTGACACTCTAAAAGTCTGCGCAAAAAACCCGAAGAAGACATCAATTAGTATTCCCATGTCTGTTTTCAAAAATTTGTTAATTAATCGGCTGTCTTTATTATTATGCTGCAGATTTTGACAACCGTGAGAAATTCGATAAGCGCATAGGAGAACTGACGGCTCGAATGAACTCAGTACAGCGTAATTTTGGTAATATAGCTATGTATACCGTCAACGGCGAACGCATAGAAGATGGTAAGTAGATATCGTATCAATGGTACTGTTATGAAATATTTTATCTATTTGTTTTTCCTCGGATGTATCCCGTTTCAAGCAAACATTTTGATGCTTTTAAAAGAATTGTTAATTGTCCAGGAATATTATGTTTAACATAGTGCTCTGGTTTTAAATCTTTCTTGTATTTCCTGTATGTCCGCAATTTGTTTCCATTAGAAAGGCCCCGATCGTCCCAAAGTTGGCCGAACCAGTCACTTTCGTCCTTCTGTCTTACATTAGTTTTAATGACATTTAAAGTGTGGGCAGTGGGTGTGACTCCGGATTCCAAAATGTTACGTAGATTATTCTTTTCACTCAGACGAAGTGCTCGCGCGTCCGACGAATTATGTCTCCGCTTCGACCAAATATGAATTTTGTATAATAAACGTCCGTGATCAATTGAATTAACACCGCAATATAGACGAAACACTTCAGTCCTTTGTTTACTAAGGGTAGATAACCACCCCATGTCTCCAATAACGCCAACATTCGATGTATTTTTAGTCGCACCCATGAACACCTTCATAGCTCGATTCTGAAAATGATTAATTACTTTACACTGAGATTGACTTTACAATGAGATTTACCCCAGATTTTTCCTCCGATTTATCCCGTTTCAAACAAACATTTTGATGCTTTTAAAAGAATTGTAAATTGTTCAAAATTAATATTTGGGAGAAAAAAGCACAATGAAAAAAAAAACTTCCAAATTTTCCAGAGTTGGAATTCAGGACCTATTCATGCTATCATGGAATTGTTAATTCATAGTATCAAAATGAAAGACGGATACACGTAACATGAAAAGAGAGGTTAGGGTTAGGGTAGAGTATTGTTTGGTTAACACTCCGGCTTCCCATGAAGATACGCTGGGGTTTAATAAGAGAAGATGTCGTAGCAAAAAAATGAATTGCTCTTAATTCAATATAAAATAATAATTTTTACATCATATTTTAATCAATCTTGTCTGGTAATGGACGACGAGACTTGCGTTACAATGTATAACCTCCAAAACAACAAGGCTGTACTCACCGTGAACGGGAAAACAAAATCAACATTTTCTGGTTTTCCTACACGAACTTGTTTTTGATTGGATGATCATTTTAATCAATTAGCGATAAGGAAGATATTTCACGTGATATTGTGTATTTAAATGTTTTACCATGTGTGTGTACTGGTAACATATTACGACGATGGTTTATTATTGGTTTAAACAATTTTTTATTTCAGTTGTCATATATAACAAGTACACAGGTAGATAGGAATAGGATCTGGCAACGACATTGTAATTCTTATATAAAACCATCTCCCTAAGGTTTATTATTACGTCTGCTCCAATAGGTAATAAATACATAATGTAATTAATATATAAATATTAAATACACTAGAAATATGCTTTAAATACAGTAGAAGGGTATATTTGTTGTTCAACTATATCCTCTACAAAAATACGATGTAGAAGTTTGGTACTTGTTATTATAAAGCCAGTCTAATTAAAATCAGATCTCTCATTACACTACGTTATATACGTTAAATATTTTTTATACATTGACACTAGTGTCATTATATCTATTTCAAGAACAACGAAGTAGAAGAACAAAAATCAGCGTGTCCCGTTCAGGGAACATTGGGCGTTGTGGATGTACTGTAGTCAGAATATATCACGATTAGAGCATTGAATAAGAATTGAATAGTGTGAGTGTAGTCGGTCCATTTTTATACCTTTTAAAAAATCACCTTTAAAAAACGAATTCACCATAAACAAGTGAAATTACAATGGAGTGAGGTAATGTTAAAATATTAGGACTTAATGAGGTAATGGAGAGTCCCCATGTTATAACACTTGAACATTTCTTAACGATCAAATAACCCTCAAAAGGATATTTTTTATGATAAGTAAACACTTAAGTCGTCCATGCAGACAGCCAGGTTCATTTTCTAAAGTCGTTTTAACGTAAACTTTTAGAATAAGAAAGAAGGTTGTTACTCCCCAGACAACTCCAACAATCCAGGTGGAGTACAAAAATATCTTTGGTAGGTGATACAGGGTCTGCGCTCTAGCATTCAAGTGAGATGGCAGTATGAAAAAGCTGCCTTCATGCTCGGTCCCAATGCAAACTAGGTCACTCCTCCAGCATACACAAAAGCGTGCAAACACGTGGAGATACTAGAAAGGTGGCATAGGAAGGAGTTAATTATATTTGTATAATGTAAAGCATATACATATTATGACTTGTTCAAGCTTGATAGGGTACTATGTAAAAGGTTATATTATGATAATAATATTTCAGCGGTCAAAACGCGAACATTTCTACACGCGAAAATTTCACTTTTACAGTAATAGTGATTGATGAAAAAATACTTATTATCTGTGATTTAACATTTACTCTAGTATTTACTATCGTACACGTTTGTCTTAGTTAGCTCAGGTATTTATATTACGGCGACAAATGATACTCTACAATAACGTATCAACAAGGAAGTTGACGAAAGTCGTGCCTTTAATTGTGCAGTAAATGGTGTATATATAGATACAGGTTAACATAGGTATATCACATAATCTTAAGTCACGATCTTGAAACGCAACACCACATGCGACTCTGAGAGTTTCTGTTCCAGGAGAGGCAAACGACAATAAAATATGTGTCTATACACTATTTTAAAACATACCTTTTGCAAACACGACAAAGGCCAATATGAAAAAGTTACTGAAGATGAAATTTTGAGATAATTGAGTATCTTAATAACATTATCTTCGTTGCGTTTGGTAGCATGTTTTTTCCCAAGCAGACTGCTTGCATTCACATAGGAGAAAATCGTGCCCGTCTCCGTGCTGTTTTGTTTATACGAGGTTGTAATAAAAGAAGACATTATCCGGACTGGTAGTAAAAGCATAATCGAGTCACTTAACTTAATTTATAAAATACGGGCGTGTCCTGAATGTGTGTGTTTCTTTTGAATTACAAGAAATGTATTGACCACATCATCATACAATATGACGACGACCAAAGACAGTTTACAACTAAGCCGTACGATAAGAACTTCCTATTTCTTTATGGTCACATCCCTTGTTCTCCAACTTATAGTGTTAAAGGACTGCGGATTCCATGGTTTCCGTGATACATTTGGACTGCTGCTGATCAAAATTGAAACTCGTGGTTTTGAGAGATACAAATTAGAAACAATTTGAAGAAGACCATGAACATTTTTATGGTCGTTATATTGACCTAACTTCGAAATAATCTTTTCCCTTTTGCGATACCGGGTATGAATGCTGATGGTTTTGATTATGCTTACACGTATGGCTTGTGGTTTCGTTGTCAATACATCAGTTCTCATATCGAGGACGATGTAATACTTGAATAAGCGTAGATTTACATGGCCGGTGTCGTCGACAAAGCTGAGGACACTTATTCTTCCGGAACACATGGTCTTTTCTTCATAGTACTGACGAAACTCCTTCTTTTGTCCATATACTGTGCCGTAGTGTCATCGATCTTGAGTTCGAATTATGGTTTCGTTCATATATCAGTATAGTCTTGTAATTTCTACTATACAAATATCTGTATATGAATCAATGGAATGTAGACTTTCAAAAAGAGAAACAATTTGTAAAATACTAGCTGTTTCCTATTAACTTGACTCTTTAATGCATTCGGCAGAGTATAAGTCCGTGTTCAACTCCCAGTGGAAGCATAGAAAAATACAATGACCTCTGTTACATTGCCGCCCACGTAGGGACCCGGGTAATATTGACAAATATACTCTGCGATACTTTAACATTAATCGCTATGACCCCCCTGGAAGACTCGGGATGGGGAGTATGTCACTCTGGTAAAATACTAGCTGGTCCCTACCGACTCAGCAGGGGAGAATTTCTCTTTAGCTCATTCAGAACGTAAGACTAGTAAACTAGAGGTCCCGGGTTCTACTTCTATCAGAAGCATTGAAAAAATAATTACCTCTTACATAAAGAACAGTTTGAGTAGCTGAACTGTTACGGACAATTTCTTTTTACTTTGTTTTACTCTAAAACAATTTTACATCAGCGTCATATAAGATTGTTAACATTTCAATAAAGTTCGCTGGTCTGTTGTTATTTATTAATTTAATTAAATTGCAGAACCGCGAAAAAATTAGGTTCAATTGGAACAGGATTGACCTGCGTACTTATCATAACATAGACAGCACTTAACTGAACGAGTCTAAAGTGTCGTTTAATGTAATTTAAGAACAAGGAAGTAGAAGACAAAAAAATCAAGGTGTCTTGTGAAATGTCTATCGTGTACATCCAATATAGCATTCAACATTGTATTTGTTCTGCACTCAAAATATCACGAATTGTCCATAAATTAAACATGTGCCATTGACTTATAAACCTATCTACCTTGTCTGAGTTAACATTTCATTTGTATACGTCTCATGTATAAAAACCAATTAAGACGACCAAAAAATCAAATCTAAGCTTAGATGATGGTGAATTATGTAAAACCCAAAGACAAACTACAATGCGTCCATCCACTAATACCCTGGTAAGTATTGAAGGTGATAAATGTGCAGGCTTACACACTAGTTGACACTGTATTGCGTTCATATCATTTTATTGTGCATTTTTTATACAATATACTGTAAACATCTTTCTTGTACGGTCCTTATTTTGGTGGATTTCTAAAATGGTATTTTTTTCGGAATCAACTATTCGCGGATTTAGGTCTACTTCCTGGTGTGTTTTTTATTTTTGGTGCGGAAACGTTTTACAACAAAAATTATAAAAAAAATAAAAAAAAAAAAAAACCTTTAAAGTACTTTTCCAATAATAATCATAACATATCGAATGAAAATTATGGTAAGTAATGGCCGTCACACGTATTTCAGGAAAACCATAACTTTCTGGAGCATCTTGTTTCCCTTCTTGTGGATTCGTGATGTATTCTTTCTTGAACATTAATAAAGTAGAAAACATCATGGTTTGGTAATGTTTAAATGTCTGGAGATGATAAAGGAACTGCAGCCTGTTGGAATGGGTTCTGTATGTATTGTGTCTCGCTGTTGACATTAAGTGGGACATATGGATATCACCATGCATAATATTCAACGTACTATAAATAATGTCTAGGTTACAAACTATGGTGATTAGTACATCAAAAATGTCAGTGAAGCGAGTAACGGCCTCCCACAACGACTCTGGTAGTGCATTCTTACTTGCAGATGTGATCAAAATGAAAATACAGATTAACGTGTTTTGTTACCTAGTACGGCTAATAAAAATAATCATTAAAAACATTAAAAATACGAGGTAGGGGATCACCTAATAAAAACTCTAATGAGTCGATGCAGAAAGTTCATCTTTAACGCACCGTTAGTCCTTTTCATTCATTTAGGTTTCATTAATGAAACTAACGGTCAAGCCTACATGATGATATGAATTGGTAATAAAGACATGAGATACTGACGTTTACGTCGAACACTTTCTTACTTATTCAGGCCTTACTATTGATTGTGTCTTACAATTTTAGCGAATTACTTAAACTAGATTAATTGTTCTTGTGATAAATTATATATTTTTTCTTCACATTTTCAATTTTTTGGATGATCTTTGAAAAGGAGTTCCATGCCGAATACTAATGAGTGTTAGGGCCTTCCCATTTAACAGATCTTTTGACAGAATTTCAGCGAGTTAGAAGAAATTTCATGTTTGCATACAGTCTCCATGCGTTTTTATGAATACGAACACTGGTGTTGGACAGAGCTGCAGAGTCTCCAGAGTTGTCTCCCTTCAAGAATTTACCCGAAAGTTGATACAGATAAAATTCGACGTGTCACGTGATTTGCAGAGGTGTACTAATTGTGTCGTGCAGGCTAGCAGGGACACACTCACGTCTTTGTGTATTATTTCATAGATCCCACATGTCAATAAAACTCCATAAATGATATTGGCCTAGCTCAGTCTAGCGTATTTTAAACTGATAGCGCTTTGTCGTTAAATATGATTTTTTTTTAAAACCAATATCTTTATATAAAGTCTGATAGTTATAACCCATGAAATCTCTCGTGGCGTTTCTTTGTCGCGTATATGACCCGATCGTCATCATGGTACACAATTATATTAAGAACATTTATTCCTTGTTTCGAGCATTTAATCTATTGGAAAGGCTGTCTGCACAAACCTGAAGTTTACATGTCTTGTTATGGTCATATTGTCTAAAAGATTCAACAGTAAAATGTGACGTATTTTTCTACTGTTAGCATATTGACATTAAGTTATGATTTATCATTAACAAACTGTAAACAATATACTATACCAAGAGAAAGGGGTTATAAACCTGTTGTCAAATCCTTTTTATATTGTACTTTTATATTGTCAATAAAATTTTGAAAATACAACATGCATTTTTTCTAGCATTTAACCTATTAGTAAGGCTGTCTGCACAAACGCGAGCACTGACTTCTGTTAACCCATACGGCACCGATACTCAACAGAGGACGTTTGATTCTCTTGCGAAGGCCCTGTTTGTGATACAGTCGTTCTACAGTAATACAAACTGGGTCGAAATGAATGGAGCAACATATTGTCCTGCTTTTGGTGAGTACTGTGAATTGCTTATTTGTTTCTCTTTTTGTTTGCCTTAAAGTGTTTATCTTTATCGCAACTGCCGAAGACTATCAAGACGGGTGCATAGGGAGAGATGTGACAAGATAATAAATTGAAGGGAAGTGAATAAAGAAAATATATAGATTCAAAAGTTTTGCAATGGGTGATAGCAAATCAATTTCTCGTCGATAGAATGTCTCCTTAGCAAAAATACAGACGACAAAATAAGACTGCAGGGGTCACCATATAAGACGCCTCTGACGAGAATAAACAGCGGGTTTAGCAAGCTTATTCCATCCATGTACCTGCTTTGGTTTCATTTTGTGTATTTCCTGCAGGCATAACAAGACATTTGTAAAAAGAAAACACTAGCGAGAGTCAAATATTCAACTAAATAAATTGCTGACATTATTATTTGATGTGTAGATGTCAGTTTCAGTCCATGATAACTGCACTTTAACATTGATATTGAAACTGACATAACAATAGTACATTATCATTATTAACAAATTTCTATCCCATAAAATTAGGAACGTGAATAAGCTTTTCATTCTTAGATATAAATAACAGTGTATCCTTATTGCAAGCATGGTAATTGACCAATATATGTCGTCACTACAACACAGGCGTAGTATTGATTATAGAATAAACACGATAGCCACTGCTAATGAATTGAGTTTTTTGTGTGTTTACCTACGAAAGGATATCGATATTTATTTTAAAACTGAAAAAAACGGGACTTCAAATATACTTAATTAGTGTTTTATGACCTTCACATGTGCCGTCTGAAAGAGAAAATATAACTTGAAAAAATTGGATTAAACTGTTTGCAACTGGGCAACAGGGCATTGAATACTTGTTTTAAATATGTAATAACACTCTACTTTCCAGTAAAATGTCTACGATATGCGTACTGGTTGGTAACATATCACACCTTCATTCGTAGCATGTATTACGTCAAATATTAAACAATTAACTAAATTGTTTCGCTGTACGGTTTATTTTATTTTTCACAGGAGGTCATTCTGGACAACTACCACAACGTGCACATTTTCTGGGTAGCACATGCCTTGACTGCGACAGTCAATCAAAGTAATATAAAACTTGATAACCCTTTAATTATATGTAATATTGGACAATTAATGTCAGCAAAACATTAATTCAAATTCGAAACAGATTGACAAACAGAGCCTTTGAACACTTACCAAATACGTTCGTTGGAATGGATTGTTCCAATTTTTCATATCAGAAGTTCCGTGATATATTTAAATCTAAAGTTATTCCTGTTAAGCCTCATGAATATTTTAGAACGATACAGTTTTTACTACATGTTTTATTTAACAATTCAATATCAATTAATAACGCTGTAAATCGCAAGCGTATATATATACAATATGTATGGGTCAAGAAGTAATATAGACGGTAAAATCCCATATAACACTGGATCCTAATGGAGGTATGTCCGTAGGATACGAATTACTTAAAATATTATATGGGGCAAAGAAGTGATTCCAACAGTGTGGAATTGTCACACTGTTGGAATCCTCTGGTGTGGATGCCCCATACCAGACATCTATTTGTCAAAATGTCTTAACGTCTGGTGTCAGGGCCAGAGGAAACTCGGGCTAAAAGAATTATAACACGAACGTGAACGTTTTCCAGTTCAGACTTATTATTTTGTGACATTATGAACTTTGCACTCGCGTTCTAAATGAAGCTATATTCAATTATTGCCTATATGGCACGTGATGAAGTCAAAAGTATACACTTAACCTATACCCACTGTTTACATAACCTATGTTTGTTTACAGAGAGAACTGTCAAAACAATATTGTCACAGATTTCTTAACCAGCGGTTATAGACCAGAGCAGAATATCGACTTACCAACATGTAAGTATACACAAATACATTGTATTGAAATCATATATTTCAGATAAAATTGTGAAAAAGGGAGCCTTAAAAATGTGTCAGAGCACCCAAATTAATACCGATCCCTATTAATATATTTTTTTGAAAAACCTGCAGCCTGCAGGAAGTCAAACCTCAATTTTGTGAAACAAAAATATTGGCTCGAAAAACAAGACGAGCTGTTATATAATGACCTTAAATGAAAATGACAGTGAGGATTGTTTAGAAGGGATAGCGTGGAATCTTCCGAGCAGGACGGTAAGTTACCTCAGCAGCTCAGTAGGCCTCAGATAGTTTGGTTGGTTGTGTTTTACGTCCAATTAACAGCTATGGCCATTTAAGGACGTGCCAGGTATTGTGGTGGAGGAAAGACGGATTTCCCGGAGAAAAACCACCGACCGACGGCAAGAAGCTTGCGACTGCCACACGTAGGTCTTGAACTCGCGACGCAGTGGTGGAGGGCTAGTGGTAGCATAATGTCAGACGCCTTTACCACTTGGCTACCTTGGTCCCTGCCCTCAGATATATTACCACTTTAAAGTGTTATGTGTATGGTTGTAGTAATTACCTATTAGAAAAACATATAAAAAAGGTCTCACAAATAATAAATTACAACGTAGAAGCTGAGCTATGTATACAGTGTATTATTTTAGAGAATTAGAGAACATTTGAATCAAACGAGCATTAAGACATATATCTATTAATGACTATTTATATCAAACCATTTTGGCTGTATTACATAACTCAACAATAACATAAAAAATACAGTATTACTTGTTTAAACTTAATATTTGTACAAATAGGTATATTATTATAAATGCTTAACCATGCATTATTCGTTGTTTTCTTTGTTTTCCAAAACAGCTTAAATCTGTGTTAATTAACGTATTTTAACTTATTTAAATTACCAGATAAAACAAGTTTGAAAATGGAACTTATGTCAGTATATTTTTACATTCTTTTTACTGTGATTGGAGAAACTCGATTGACTCACTTGAACTGAACTATATACTGGTATAAGCGTGTAAGAGGTGTTTGTTTCTGTTGAAAGTGATCAGTGGGAAGAAATGCGGACATGGCTGGAATACCAACTATACTGAACTAGCCATTGGTGGTATCAGTAAAGAAACCTCTGACGTCACTTCCTCCCCACATGCACACATCCATTCTCATGCTGTGGACGCCGCCATCCAAGCAACTGAAACATACCTGTACAAGAATGGTAAGGTTTATCAATATGCAGTCAGTGATGTAAATACGGTTTAATCCATAACAGACACCAGGAATCATATTTTCTTAAATCTCGGAATTGTATTTATTATACAATGTATGTATAGTATATTAATAGAAATATCTATCTTTATTAAATTTAATATCTGCCTAAACAGAATACATGTTTACCATCTCTTGTATCTTAAGTGACCAGCAATTTTCATAAATATACTGGAAACAATATATGGTACACTTAGCATGCCGGTTTGTTAATTATCATTTGTGTTTCCTCGGAAGAATGGGTTATTTTCTTTTCACATTTAAGTGTGTCCTTGATAGTTGATGCTTAAGTTTGATGGGGGTTTTTTATTTTACAAATCGACAGGCGAAGGCATTTTGAGCAACCTTACCGTGGAGAATTTCAAACTCCTGATGGATCTGAACTCTTTACAGGCAGTATCTAAAGCTTCACTAACATTTGTTATCGACGTCAGTGGATCAATGGCTAACGACATAAAGGCGGTCACTGATACTTGCATCGGTATAGTGTCAGGTGTCCAGGGCACAAGTAACGAACCAACTAATTACATACTGGCAACGTTCAACGATCCAGGTATTTGATCATTCTAAGGTGCACTAGAAAATTCCACTGTAGGTTTTCATTTATAGAGTAACCTCCCCTTAATTTCATTTTCAATATAACTGTAGCGCAGTTTTGCCAGGACCCTCCGTTGACCAGGTAGCTCATCCAGTTAAAGCAACGTATGACAATATGAAATGAAGGGTTAGAATCCAGATGACCCCGCCAATGATTGCGTATTATTTATTTCATCTTTAACATCTCACCACAAAAGTCCGACAAGGTATAGATTTATTTTCAGAAATGATTTATCAAAGCTATATTCATGCCAGAAAAGCAGTTTACTATGCTTATTTACGCTCCTTGGCAATGGTACGGGGATTCTTAATGTGTTTTTTTCTATTTCTGAATGTTTTGAATAACCCTCTAATGATCTAGGCCTATATTTTTAAGTTGCTGTAAATGAAACTGTATTGTACATTTTTGTGCATGATCGTATTGGGCGATCCATTACGTGTGTTCATGTAGAATAAGTTTGTTTATGAGTCTACATTCTACTCTGATTCGCACTATTGCCGACAGTGTCGCTACTCTTAAATGCAACAGAGTGGTTTTAGCCTTGATTTAAAAAAATCGGAATTCGGATTTCCGTGTTAAATTATTAGTCATCAGATAATGTTTTTAGATGTGAAAGTGACAGATATGCTTGTTTTTGTGAACAATTTAGCAGTCATAGCATAACTTAACATCAGTGTAAAAAGTATCATCACAACAATGGTGTAAGGTGTGAAGAAACACGTCTCTTGTTCATAGATGATAGTGACAAATTTGAACTGTGACCTTTTGTGATCTATGTATTTTGTATAACTTAATTTTATTGTAAAAGATATCTTTTATTATTGATAAAGAACTTACAGTTGCAAATCAGAAGATATCATATCGAACACCGCTAAGTTGCCCTTGACTTCCTGGTTTATTTTCATCAAGTCTTCAGCTTTAGAGACATTTGAAAAACCAAAATCGACATTTGCTAGCCCGATTAAACACTTGAGATGTCTCCTTTTTTTTCTTTTGTCTCCCTCATGCATCTAGAAGAAACCCATGCTAATAATGTTTCTACTGTAATGCTTTGCTTAATAGAAGACTGATTTCGTGTGATATTTCAGAGAGTTTAACGACTGGAACTGTTGTTACCAGTGGAGATGATATGATCAGTAGCCTTCGTGCTCTGAGAGTTAACGGCGGTGGAGACTGTCCTGAGTATTCAATGTCTGGTATATTAAAAGGTATCTGCTGACACTTACTTGTCATGATTACCATCATCATCATCATCATCATCATCATCATCATCGTTTTCATCATCATCATCATCATCCTAATCACCACCACCACCACCACCACCACCGCCACCACCACCATCATCATCATCGACATTAATAGCAAGCGCAGCAGCAGCACCCTGTCAGTTCATCGTATACAAATTCAGGGAAACTAATTTTGTTTTATCTTTCAAAAATATTAAGTTTATATCACTTTATTTCGAAGGTATTTTTTCAGTTTTGTCAATACTTTTCGCGACCTGGTTAAGTTGTTTGTGTTAATTACGTGATCGTTAATAATTTTATAATAAAAAAAGTCTATCCTGAAGTAAGGAAGGTTTATTTTTGCTTTTCTGTTTCATCATCGGCCCCTGCCTCCTTTCATCTGGCGTAAATTATTTTGTATAATTTTGTACTTGGTTAAACATCAGACATAAGGTTAAATCATTACCTTTGCACGAGCTTTGTTATATATATTGCAAAATCGAAAATTAGCAGAAGTACCTATCATCCAGATATCCTTATTTGAAATTGAAAATATTATTTTTAGATAACATCCTTCCTTGCTTGCCTTTTTTTTGCTGTTTTCAGGAATATCCCTTAGCAGAAATGGATCAACCGTATATCTTTTTACTGACGCTGATGCCAAGGACAGGTCTAAAGTATCAGAAGTGATCAGAAACGCCAATTCCAAAGACATTAAGATACACCTTCTTCCTACGGGGTCATGTAGTCGTCGTCGCCGTAGCATAGGTGAGAGTATATATAATGTAAGTAGGCCATGTTACCGAAGAGTTGATAAATTTACGGGTTGTATTGTATTGTAAAGCATTGTATAAACGCATGAATATGCAGCAGTCATCGAAAGCAGTTTGACCTCATTCTCTTTCCTGCTTCTTATCTATTGTTTCTTTTATCATAATGTCCGTTAACCCCATGGTAGTCTCCTCGTTGGTATCTGTATTTATTCCATGAATTCTTAGAATTATTTCTTTTCAAAATTCATTCATCCAGGTAGAGTACGTCGTAATATAGATGACATTTACCGGCAGATAGCGGAGGGAACGGGAGGACAGGTATTCGAGACAAGCACTGCAAACCTAACCACTACCCTGTCAGAACTCATAACCGTAAGTAAAACTTTTATTTTTCAATATAATCAACATCCTATCGCTCTTGTTCAATATATAATGGACAATAAATGAATTTTGGTTTCGTAAGTGGTAACCTCTTTTATCTGTATGTGCAACAAGACTTCTGAAAGTGAATATCCTTATTTATTTTTTAATTGCTTGCGCAATGGAATACTGAATTGTAAACAAAATTTTAGTCGAACTCCAGTCGACTAAACTAGAACAGAATATGAACAACACAAGAAATGATAACATTGGACCCTTGACAAATTACAAGGAGAATAAGACCAAGTGTTCCGGAATGATAAGTGTCTACTGCTTAGAATAAAGAACATAAGTTACCCTTTGGTTCACAGTTCTTGTTATTATAATTGACGTAATATGATTATTTTTATTGTAGTGTAGGAGGCTGCCTTATTTTCAAATTCTGCAATATTATAATTCTATTCCGCTCTGCATCTTGGAGGAAACACTGTTCACGTCGTAGTTATCTAATATTTTCTTCATAAGCGGTGCTCATTTGATTTACTTAAATTGCCTTGTCTTGACTCATCGTCTGCAATGAAATAATTAAAGTATTCTGCAACTTTTTGTCTAGTTTGATCCGAATGAAATGGTAGCTGATAGTATTTAGCGTGCTTTCTGCTAAGATTGGCTATATTTTTATGTCAAAATTGTTAATACTAGAATTGTCTTACTTGTTTGCTTTTTATCATCTTTAAACTTAGGAAGAGACGCCCTCGTCTGTAATTGTGGTACAGACATTTTCTATGTCCACAACTGACAGTGACCGAAAAGTTGTGATCATTGATTCTACAATGGACCTCTTTAAGATAGAGGTCAGTGGTGCATCATCAGTAGATGACGTTGCCGTTGAAGATCCTACCGGTAAGATTCTGTCTGTCCGGAATATATGCGCACAACTTTGTTGATATTAAGCAAATATTTCAGCATTCAATTATGATTGACTTTAGCAAATCAAAACCATTCATCGATAATGCTAGTTTTTCTTATGCACGTAGTGATAATTTGAATGATTACAATACTGATTACAACAAATCCTTCCGAGGAATAGTCCTTTTGAAATTACGCTTTTAAGGCATAAACGTGCCAGAATATTCTGGGGGGGTTTAAGACCTGGAATAAAACCAATATTTGGTGTGTAAATTAGTTATAAAAATACTTACGGAATCAAAATATGATATTTCTTTGTTGCGATGGTATCAGTGATAATGTAATAAAATGCTGTCTCTGGAATATTTTTTTCTGTCACAAGAAAACTGTATATATTTAACATTGTTTAAGGTTATCAGGGGATAGCTAAATGCCGGTATTGGAGTTAGCATTTACTGCAGATCCGACTTTTCATAAATTGGGAATGAAATTGATATTGAACAATTTAGTTAGCAAGCTAAACCACTATTTGAGCAGCATGCAGAAATTTTGCCATTATCGTTTCTGAAACGAATCCCTCGTAGGCTTCCTAAATTATGAATTATATCAATTATATCAAATTATGAAACAAAAGTGCGAAATATCTCAACTTCTATAATTGTTTTAATTGGTATTAATTTTGAAAGTCAAACACTATAATTAATTTCAATTTTAATCAATCTTGCGTGAATGTAATATTTGTCAAGTACTTATCATTTTTCATTTCAGGTTCCACTTTACGATACACAGCCGGTGTCGCGTCACGATACTACAGTGCTGGGAAGGTTATCATATCAGTTCAGGTATCTTACTAAAACGTTAATGATGATCGTAGGATTGAATAGCATTGGGAATTTGTGCATAAGTAAAATAAATAGAAGGCAACAGCATATTTCCCTTTGCAAATTACATTTATCTTATATTTATCTTAGCTTTGTAAGAAAAACCTAAATTGGAACTATAAATCAATACAAAATCAACAACCGTCTTCCCACTTCGACAAAAAATGTCTTCCCACTCCGACAAATGCGTATTTGCAAACTCTATGTGAAAAAGATGCGTTCAGCATGTTATACGAATTTGATATTAATACGTCAATACTTCCTATACAAACCATATGTAGATATTGCTTGGAAAATGCGTTCAAACGATTATGAATGCAATTGGAGTGGTTCCATGAGGCCTACTTGTGTTCATACTGTCATGAATGATAAAACATTCCGTTCATTGTCTATGAAATTACAATTTACTTGATATAGGGCATAACATAAATAAAACTTATGAATACTTTTATTTAGTAACTAACAACTTGTCGGACTCATGATCACCATTTATCTCATAACAGCACTCCTTCACTTATATCACTACATATATTGTTCACAGATCACTAGTCAGATGTCCTGTTTTCATTTTTTTGTACGATCTAAGATGATGTCCTTATCATTTGCACTCGGTGTATTACTACACCAATTCTACATGTATTTGTAATTTAAAAGAATATCAAAATATGTAATATATTTATTTAAGAAACCCATGGCTGGCAATTGGACAATTGTGCGTACACGGAATCAGGCTCTAGCAGTAAACGTGACAGGATCGTCTGCGTTTGACTTCAGTATAGAACTAACGGAACTGGATGGAAATGGAATTTCGTACTTAATTGTTGGGAGTCCCATATCAGGTTTCAAATTATTTCGTTTCTGGTTCTGTTATACGCTCAGCTGAAAAAAGAAGTAAAAGCTACTTTTCGAATTAATTTTTTTCAGTACTTGTTAATCAATTAATTTACGATCATGTTACTATAACATCGTGGTCCTAAAGTGTTTGTTTTTTAGATAAATTCTTTTGACTGATAGTTGGTATGTTTCCTTAATTACCTTTCGTCCACTTGATGTTTGAAATATGAAGTTAAAAATATTGTAAATGTTACGTTGAATGTGTTTGATCAGGGTCCGGATTTTCAAAAACTGATTCGCTTAACGACGAATTAACGAAACCATTCCGTGTGGCTTATTCTAAAGATATTGAAGGTCCAAGCTAAATAGGTATCAGTAAATTCAAAAAGATCAACTACAGGCAGACAACAAAAAATATTTTATAATATTTGCTCATAATTGGAGTTTAAATGTTTTGTTAATGACTCGTTATGCTGATCAGACTTTACACAAATTGATCCAGACCAAATTCTTCAGTTATCCATGATCAGATGCCAGGGAATCATAACAGCATCACGTTTTGTATGAACCATGTGTTGCTGTTTAAGGTAACAACTATACAATAACAAGTCAGCTCTATAACTTAGACTACAATTCTTCGATAACATTAATGACACTTGTTGACATGGCTGGGAACGAGGTTGAAAGGATTAAAACGACTGTCCATCGAACTGGAACAGATATGTTTGCTGTTTCGGATGTCACAATGCCTCCAGAAGTAAGCTAAATTTATGTTTTTCTGCTTTTAATTATAAAAGAGCGGATACTGCCATGAATGCATTAAACATTGAATAGGTACATTAAGCCAACTCCTTTCATGATCTTTGTTTATTATAGGTCTTTCAACGCGACAAGTGATTGAGATAATCAATTGTTCTTGGCAAGTCCGTATGCATATACATAAAAATTCTTCCAGTATGCATGTAAGGCAATTTTAAAACTGTTCTTCCTCTTCATGCTTTTACACATGGGAGGCACGGTAGTCTAGTGATAGAACGTAAATGAGTACGTGGTTGGGCAGTGCTAGAATTGTTGAATTTTAGCTGTGAGCGCCGAAATGGCAGCACCGGCTGTATGCTTCCCAAAGATTTGAGAAAGATGTTGGCTGGTTGCAAAGGCCCTATAACCACGGATAATAATTTGTGAACCGCTTTGAGATGACCTACGAACTAGATTGTAATAAAGCCGTATATAAAAACTTTGAATTATTATAATTATTGTATAAGTGTAACATATCTTCCAATGTATCAACAATACCAGGTGTTACGCTCACTTACGCTTTCTGTAATCCTAGAATATGCAATGAACATATCGAAGGCTCAGCGTGTGTCGCCTTGTGGATGATACAAGAAGACTACTTTGAGCCTTTAATGTTCATCAAGAGAATCTCCTGACGGCATAACGGTAAAATTGCAAGGCTTTGAAGTCGAGTGTTATTCTGTTCATAGGACAGGTATCAGCCCAGCATTTTATCAGGTTTTTCTGTTACATTAGACTAAGCTAGCTGCTTGCCTTCGATTTTTCCATGGCATATCGAGGTGTACAGAGAGCGTAAGTAAGTGAGCATAATCCCTTGAGTATCAAGGATGCATTTTTCAATGTTGTGGATGTAATTTGAGAGCAGGACCTTTTTGTTTGACTGTTGTGAAACATCCTTCGATAGAATTACGAAATCGGAAACGCCTTTATTTAAATTTCATTAATCTAATTTAATATATCAATCTCATCATATTCATACTTACCTTCGTTCGTTATACAACACAGGGCGATGGAACTCTAATTCATTTTTTAATTTTGTGGTTTAATGATCAATAAAATGTATATTTCGTGTATTATCTTATTAATATAAATCGTAATACCCCGATACGCTCAGCAGCACATGTAATATTCAATAAAAAAAATATGTTTCCAGAGTTTCCGAGTACAGCTAATAGGTGTTCTTCCTGAAGGAGAAAGTTTTCAAAGAACTAATCCACAGGTTATCTCCCCTGTCAATGTGAAGCTCACACTGCGCCCTAATCAAGGTTGGTCTGAACGTTCGGCTTGAAATAGTTCAAAGTAGTCTGATTATCATCTAGGACTCATAAAGCGACAATTTCGTTTCTTAAACAAATTGATGAAAGTTTGTGAATGTCAGTTGTAAAAATGAAAAATAAATAAAAGTTAACAATTTCATCCATAAATGAACATAGATCTACATGTTCTGAGAATGTATGCTCAATTATGAATCGAATCTCGATCAATATTTTTCGTCCTTTTCATTTCTTCTAAAATGCATACTGTGTATCATAACTTGGCAGGAAATTGCCTTTAATATATATAGCAAAAAAACAAAGTGTTATGTACTAAGAGACTTTTTTAATCGTATGAACTCCTAATTATCCACTTGAAATAAAATGAAATGAAATAGTAAAAGTGTATTAATAAGTTGTTTCATTTATTATGTAGATGAATTCCCACTAAATGAGCCTCAGAATATCACCTACCGACTAAATAACTATGGATCTACCAATCAGACGCTGGAGGTTGACATTGACGCCGACTCGGCTCGTCTGACCACTGTGACGTATGACATGTACCCTGGAGAGATCAAAGAGGACCATTTTCAGGTCACCGGACATACACAGCATCAGATAATGTAAGTATGTTCTTAAATTTCGAAGAGAGTTTTTAATAATGAAATCATATCCTTGTGATTCATGCACATTTCGCCATATTAAAATGTTTTTGGTATATTATTTTCTTTCTCTATATTTAAATGTTTTAGATATATGATATGTACTATAACTAGAACAAAATAGTATGCGTTGTTCATTTACAATCAAACAAAATATAATAGTTCGATTATATATTTTCGGAAACGATATTTCGCAGCAAATGAACGAATTATTAAATCCAACAAAATTCAGGTCATATGGTATACAACGGTGCTGCCGGCAAAAGGACGTCACTTAAATAGAATGTGATGTTGGAAGACTATATTTTGTGAGAACAAACATGGCTTTCAGGGTTACACAGTTTGTTGAATTTAATCTACTGCTGTTACCAACACTAAATCAATCTATAACCATCGACTCGCATAAGTGTATACCCGTGTCCCTTGATGCATCATACATTCTCATGACTTTGTTTGGATTTTGGGGTTGTTTTCTTTTTAGTGGTATTAAAATGCATTTCTCTCGTACAGGAGAATAATTCAGTATTTACATCCATGCTATGCATTCAGGATAATATCAACATGAAAATTGTATTAACAATTACTAAATAGCTTTTATTTCTCAAATATAAATGTAAATAATATAACTGTCCGTATAATAATTTTTGATTCAATCGATATGCTGATGTTTGAATTCGAAAAAGTCCAAAATAATTACATTGATATAACGTTATTGTTATATACAAATACATTCTGACTGCTAAGTTATATTGCATTTCTTTGGGGTCCCAAGCTTCAAGTGAAAGGCTTTATCGTACAAGCCAGAACTTTCATCGCGCCAGATTCTAGATTAATGAACGTTACGTGCGTTTCCTCGCAAGATACCAAAGCTTATTAATAGCTTACACATTATTCACAATTTATCACTATATGTGTAATGACATTTGAACTCGGTGCTAAATATTGTAGTAAATGTCCTAAAAAAGTAAATAGGTTTACTTTGATCTGCACCAAACTTGCAACAAGTAAATTTGTCTAAGAAGAGATATTGGCGATAAACGAAGATAGCCTTATAATAGGAACAGCATACCTGATTAACAAAGTAAATAAAACAATAAGATTTCATACTCATTAATATTCTCTAAGTGTGAGATTATGTATTTCAGAAATGTATTATACACAATTAATATCCCTTCTTCTTTAAAGAACCTACACTGTGTCTGTAAGACAGTCGGGCTCTGACACCATACTGCAATCTCTTTCCGATACTGTCTGGGTAAGTATATTTGATCATATTAATATGAAACATACGGACATTATTGATATCAAGAAATTAAGAAACAAATATATCAAGGAATCCACACATATAACATCAAATCTCAAAATTGTTTAAATAGAAAAGTATCGACATATTGAACGAAATCTTGAATGTAACGTTTTCCTTGTATGGCGTAGAATTTGTTTCCTTGCTTACGTAACTACCCTTCGTCTTTAGGAATTCGTCATTTGCTTTTGACATATACTTGGGTGCTGCTCCTTTTTCGTTTAATTTTTAATTTTTGTTTGTTTTGTTTTCTCATGATTTGGTCGTTTTGATATGAAGTCACATAATAGGATGTTTCATGTACCAGTGAGTAATTGGCTAATGACACAACCATATCTTTGATATATCTATGTATCACATTTGTTATATTTTGACATCAGTTTAAATAACTTATACTACATGGTCGTACTATGCAGTCACTTTATAATATTTGTATACAGATGAAGCAAAATTTTGTTCATAAACATCCACAATTGTGTGAAAACAAAATGAAGAAAAAAAATAACGAAATCTTCTGCAAAATGTGGAATGATTTGCAGCATCATCAGAAGCAGAAATCCTTATCTGCGGTAAAGTGATGTGATATGGGCATTCATATTCAACGTCGTATAGGCGTTGTATATCTGTTTTTTTGTTACCGGTCAGTTTGTGAGTCCAGCCTGTAGCATTAGTAACAACCAAGGAACATGTCCTGAAATGGTCGATCCACCAGCTTCATGTCAGTCGATCACCTGGTTCAGTCAAGCAGTATTGTCCCCGGATGTGACGTCATACGAACTTTCGACCAACGATGACAACGTTGAGATCTCAACTGACAACTCAACTGACGACGGCATACATCTGAAGCACATCAATGTGAGGTGAGTTGTAATCCTAATAAGGTTAACGTGTCAACCAGCATCGTATGTATTGAATAATGAAAATGTAATGTAAAATATCTGCTATTTTTTGTTTTTTTGTTTTTAAAAAATAAAACCGTAAAAATTACCGCATCTGTCACATCACCATGGGCACAGAATAATTGTATTGGTATAAATGTACAGAACTCGCATACGTTTGTACCCTAGTTCAGAGGGAAATTCTGGGTGAGGTATTTTGATTTCAACAAATTGTATTGGACAAAAATAATTGAACAATTGGATGAGACAACAGGCTTAGCCTATATAAGTCTTCTCCTAAGGTACCTGAGGTATCATATGTCTGATTCATTAAAAGTGGTTTTCTATGTTAATTTTTTACAATTATATTAAAAAATGAATCACTTCCATTTGATAAAATCCTCTGATTATTCATTCAATCACAATTATGAATTTCGTTTCTTTCTCCCCTGTTCCTTCTTTGCCTTGTCAACATGTCCTCTAATTTATAGGTAGGGTTTTTTCTGCTAAATGCCATTTAACTTGTAAAATTTACAATCCTCGGCCTTTGGTTATTTCACTGATTGAAATTTAATGATAAGGATAATGTTAAACACGTGTATGCGTTGGAGGTCGTTATTGTTAGCGTGACCAATTGACGTCGTGGCTCGTTACAATCGCCTGTCTTCTAAATTGAGTTCGAATATCGTCAAAGACGTGTCCTTATTTTTATTTCATTGTTTCGAATCTTTTAATCAGATGAGTATTTTTACAATTTGATAACTAATTTGATTCATCCGTATTTTAATGAACATTTTAAAATATCGTAAATTTAAATAGTGTGCTCCAAGACTATATGAAACAGTTGGGAAGGGTTGGTAGAGGCGGTGTTAGGTTTCCATCTTAAGCCAATTTCTCTTTTCAAAAACTCTCATTGAGTCTGTCAATTTTTTGAGTTAATATGTCCAAAGAACACTCATATCATGCATTTTATAACATATCATCATTCGAAATTCATAACATAGTTATGTTTCTATTCGTAATTCAACCATTGAATCAGATCGGCAAGATGAAAATAAGATGAAAGGGTTCAATGTTTCACTGATAAATTACATTTAAAACATACAAATCAAAGACTAAATAAACATTAATAGGATATGTCCTATTAATACCATAGATATGAGGTTGCAGTCAGTTAATTTTGCATCCAAAATTGAAGATAAAGATAAATATTTGCATCATACTATCATGAAAAATGTCCTCTATGCCGTAGTCAGGTGGAGCAAAAGAAAAGATTTCGATGCCTTATAAAGAGTGCGTGACTGGTGAACCGTGGCGGCTGGTGTTTATACAATAAGTAACACGTGCGCCTTACGCGGTTACTTGTGTCACCTTGGCCTCATATCCGGACACTAGTACACCTGTATGCCGGGACTATAATAAATACATATATCAATAACTAACCTGCCCAAATAAAGAGAATGTTTAATGCGCGTTCATTTTGTTTCCTATTGAACTTTTGTCAGGTCTTAAAACAGTTTACCAACAAATGAAGTTAACAGTTAGTTCTTTTGATCGTCTAATCGTTTCATTACTCTCTACCGCCGGCGTCTTGCAGCAAAACTTCTGTTGTTCTCTGGTCAACAGCTGTATAATATTATCATGTAAATGAGGACAACTTGCAATAATAATACTTTATCAATTCCATAACAGCGTGACTTTATTTTGCAATATACCTATCCGACTTTGTTTTGACAGTGGCGATTGCTGTGCTCCGTCTGTGTACCTGTCTACTCTGGGATCTAGCGGTGAAGTGAACGGTCAGTGTCATTTCCACTTCGGCTCTGTGCCAACCTTCACCGTCACACATATGCCTACCGTTAACGTCAGCACAACTGCAGCGTCGACCAACGCTACGATAGCCTCAGGCGACTCAAAGAAGGTACGTTTATTGTTTACAAAAACGAAATCCTTATCTGCGGTTAAGTGATGTGATATGGACATTCATAATTAACGTCATATAGGCTAATCTTTGCTTCTTGACGTTAGCTTGTTATATTCCATGGAATTCAGTGAATACGTTCATATTATCAGCAATCTGAACTAACAAGGGAATAGCAAAAAATATTTATCGTGCAAGTGAAAATGTAAATGTTGATTACCAAGAAACAGAACGCACTAATATCGCATCGAATGACGTTATGTCTGATGATTTAATATGACAAATGATAATGAAGTAAAAGAATTTAGAATTTGTACAAAAATAAATGGTCAGTTCGTTTCAGTTTCTGACGTCAGTATGCATTTTTTTCATATTGTAATATTTAAGGGAGTATTATAAAATATCACAAGATACATAAGATGTGTTAAAAATCGTTTAAAAAAATAAAAATGAAACTTGAGCAGCTGCAATTCAGTAAGTTTCAATGATAAATTATTTCAGCTTATAGAGGATGTTATCACACTAAGAAAGCTTTATTTAGATAATATTCATTCAATTTCATCATTAAAAAGCAGCAGATACTTTGTTGAAAAAAGTATTGCGATATAATATCACTTCAAAATCATATTGTACTTATCTTTTATAAAATTCAGTAGTTTGGAAATATGTAATATCAAATTTTTACTTTATACACAAACATTGTACGTTTTTAACGTGCCGCAACGTTTCAAGACCGACTGGTCCCTTTGAAAACCTTTTTTATGACTGAGTTAGCGATTTATATTGCTTACCTGTACAACGATGTGACGAAATTGTATATGTCATATGTCAATCGACCAATGACGTTTCATACATCGTTTGTGTATAAAGTAGAACTTATATATTCCATATTGTACTATATAACGATAAACTAATACTCCCAAGGTATCGGTGATATCAGTAGTATTGTCCATCCTTAGCCAATAGTATAAATGTTGGATTTGACTTATACTGTTCTTATTAACAATGTAGAAATTATCTTTGAGAATAAGGTTTAACGTTGATAAATAGTTCACATCCGGGAATACCCTAAAATGGTCCACAACCTATGATTATCTTTGTCTCGATATACGAGACACATACAAAATTAACTCGAAAATAACTAGCCAAAACCTGTATAAAGTAGATAAGAGGCGGATACCATACTTCAAGTTCTATTTCTCTTTATCATTTCGAGATGTTGTATTCCTAATATTTCTTAGAGTATATAACATGTTTGTTTTCTCCAAAGTTCTAACGATTATTAAATCCCATCTATTCAAACTTTGCCTTAAGCTGATGAACTTATTCCTGTACAATTACATATCAGTACGAAAGTAACAAGATATACTAAAGCCATTTCTTTTTCTTGTTTTGTTTTCAGTTTTTGATTGTTGTCATTGCTGGTTCGGGCGGTACATTTCTGATCATTTTCGTATTAACGATTCTCATTTGGCGTCTTAGAAGTCGTGCGGAGAAAAATGTTCATGTATTCATGTTATAGTATAAGGATGAATGAAAATAATGTGCGATATGTGCATGTTGATCTTTATTTTCATTAGACGATTTCTCACTATTATCACGTTTGGAGTATGGGTCTGCTAAACTAAGCAACTTCAAACCCTCCTTTTGAGAAGCCATGATGTGACTACAGATATTCTTTGACTAGACGCTTTGATCCTGAAGATCCTGACTTCAGAGCACGAGTCAAAACTGTCTCCGTTCGTATACTGCGCTTCCTTGATTCTAATTCAGTTATGAATAGACTACAATTTGTCCTACACGCTAGCGTTTGTTGATCAAAGTTCAAAGGTATAAACGTCCGGTCGTTAGTGCGCTATGTCTAATACAGTATACATGCATTTATTATAGTCACGGTATACCGTAATGTTTGTAGTGCAGGTAGTACAGGTGTACTAATGTACGGAAATGAGGCCAAGGTGACACAGGTAGTCGCGTGAGGCGGGGCGGGTAACGCGTAACCGCACGTGTTACAGGTGCGATACGGGTGATATAGAGTAATAAATTGAGGGTACATAGTCATTCGAGTCTTGACGGTTCATCGATTCACTTCAAGAAATTATATTTCCTTTTGTTAAATTATAGAATTATGAAATTTCCTCGTTTTCCTTGAGACAGGCACGAACGCCAGGGATGATTCTGAAAAGAGAATTCCTAGCGTCGGACAGGATATGGATTCAGGACGAAGAGAAGGGAGAAGGGAAGAAGGGTCGGGCACGTGCCCTTTGTATTTCATGTACCTGTTCCTTTAAGAAAATGGTTGACCGTCGAAGGCCACTCCCATACATAGGTGTTGAGTTTTATATGATAAATGCTTTATGTTCGGTTGAACGTAGTGAATTAGAATCATAATGATAAAGAGATTAAATGTCTTTGTGAAGTAGATAAGTAAACAAGAAATAAGATCTTACGACCGACAACAGAACAAGCAGTTTTCACTCTTCACATGGCTCGATCGGGTTTCTAAGAATAAAAAGGGGCAATTAACCCGGCTAACTACATATTTTTAAAATTATGTCATCCGGCTTCGTTAACTGGAAAATCCATGTGTATGGTGAAAGCTGCTAGTTTTGTAGTCGGTCTTAGATAAAATATATATATATATACATATTTGTGCTTTTTGTTTATGTATTTTATTATTGTAGTATTGTTTCATAAGTGTTTACGTTTCTGTCTTGAAAAAGGGGTGGATTGCCCTGAAACTTCTTTGTCAATATGTGTATTATAGTAGATAATAAAGAAACAAGGTCTTTAGTAATATATAATCACCCTAGGTTTCTTGGTTATTCAGAAAAAAATATTGTCTTAAAACAAGTACACAAGACTAACCGCTGAGTCTTGCGTACTTCTTGTTTTATGTTATATATATGCATATACAAACAATCCAGGCTACCTTGCCAGAAGTTATGTCCTGTGTTGTTTTGAATCGTAGATGATTGGCAATGCGACAAATAAATCAATGGCAAGAATGACCGGAACGTGCACTGTATGCTTCAACTCCCCACCTGTACCACAGATGCACTAGCCTGTGGTTCAGTTCAAAAAGGTCGGAAGGTCATCACTTGGCTTCCTTTGACATTGACATGGCTCAAATCGCAATGGGACAAATATATCAATGGCAAGAATGAACTGACTGTGTACTGTATGCTTCAACTCCCCACCTGTACAACACACCAGCCTGTGGTCCTGCTGACCCTCTGTCAAATTAATATGTGTAAAGGTCTGAAGGTCATCACGTGGCTTCCTTTGACTGAAGCCGTTATTTTATACGGATAAACACCAAACAACTGAGCTGTAACGCACTGTGTGATGCTATAAAGGGAGAGCCGAATGACCTTGATGTTTCGTATACACTTTTGACAAAAGAGATCCGAGTCTACTTGTTTTGCACTATCATTGTCAGAACCAAATTATTGGCGAATTTACCGAAACAATATGCGATTGGCATTTGATTTTAACGAGAAAACCTTCATAAACAAAATAATATCAGTAGTACGGTAGATGATATCATAATTCTAATTATAAAACAATACATTTATAAATCGATATGTTTACAAACGTCAATGTCAGTACTTAATAACCTTATCCAGAACATATATTTTCTCATAGATATATTGCTGTTGGTAAAGGTGGACTTATTTTCATTGAAATTTAATTCTGAATGGAAGGAAATTTGAAAGACTACTTTATATTGCTTAAACCATGTCTTTGCCAAAATATGTACACATGTCTATAGCATATACTAACATAAACGTGTGCTTCTAAAAACATATGTAAAAGTCCTTGACCAATCAGACTTTTCACTTCTTAACAATGCTTGAATATATAACAGACAGAATGTTGATGTAGTTTAATTAGGCTTTGATACAAAGTATTTGCAAAGTCTAAAATATCAGCCCTTATTATACATATAAATATACATAATTACTTAAAAATCGTACCTGGAAATAATTGATAGGTACAATAGCAATATTCTGCAGTTCATTATTATTTAATGTATTATAAATGAATGGTAATGTGTAAAAGTAATAATATTTTTGACATTTGATATAAACTTGGATTTTTTTATTATTTTTTAAATATGTGATTGTACTGTAACAAGTTTCCCTTTCTGCTGATTTTGCATATACAGTAAAATAAAAGAAACTCTGCCTTTGATTTCTTAGTTGTCATCACCGTGGTATTAGAAATTATTGATTTCTTAGTTTGCTCACAGTAGCCAGATTATCAATGAAATCTGATCACGCATAACTAAACAATTAAGTCGATTACATTATATACAGCATTTGATAAAGCGCCCTATCTAGCTAACATAAGCCACTCATAACCTTGCTGAAAATAAACGATTGGTAGGTCTATTTTAGTCAGTGTTATTATTATTTATATTTGGATGTTTCGGAAATAGTCTGTTCATTGTTAAAATCGCACGTCCATTTTTTTATATGCAATCGGCATCGGTATGAACTGTATGGTATGTTACGATTATGGTTCATAATGACACTATATATACTATTTACAAATACATGTAGGTGTTTCGTTTCGTTAGTAATATTCTACAAATGTATTTCTCATTTTGTATTTTCTGGTAAATGTTTGCAAATGTGTGTTTTTTTTCTGGTAATTGTATATTTGTTGGAATGGAGAGATGCGCTACATAGTATAATTTGATGATTGTGAATCCTGCACTGCTTTTATTGATTCACCTAGTCTGATGTACCAACTGCCGTTTAACCGTTATGCAGCTTCCCTCATTCCTTCGTCTGTCTGGCGTCAGTGTTTTTCTTTAAACAAAATCTTTTGAATAACCAAGAGGCCTAGGTTAATAATATTCTGGCAGTGGTATGATTGGATAACATGTTTTCAAGCAAATTCAAATATATAACCTTGACCCTCTTTCAACAACGCATGGGTTTAATTTTTGTGAACATTTAATCAACTTTCCTGGATAATCAAGCGACCTAGGTAATGATATTCGGCCAGTATTATGTTGGGGTAAGGGGTAATTTATGATTTGTTGTATGAATAGTATTTACCCACTTCCGAGGTCGCAGGGGTAGCATTTGTTCTAAAGTTCAATGGACTTTTCAGAATAACAAACGGCCATAGTTTGTTTTTTTATTTAAATGACATTGACCTACTTTCAAGGTCACTACAGACATAACCATCAAATTTTTTTTAGACAACTTCTGAATAACCAAGAAACCTAGGGTGGTTCTATTTGGACTGTTGAGATAGATGAAGGTCTGTCAAACTTTTTTCAAATTAACGACCTTGACTCACTCTCAGGGTCACATCTCAGGGTCACAATTGTGAAAATTCTTTATATAACCAAAGTCCAAGTCTAGCTATTTAGCTAGGATGCCGGGGTGAAAGATAATTGATTTGGGTCATATTGGTAAAACGTTAAAAAGATTTCTTCTGAAAAACCAATAAGTCATTTGAACTGAAGTTAATGGCGTAAAGTGATATGAAGATTTGGATCGGATAGAATGACCTAGGCCAACTTTGAAAATCATGTTGATGTCCATCAGATAGTTTACTTGGTCTGACTTCAGGCTAAGAATATACAACAGTTTGCACTATAATACTAAAATAAATTACAGTATTTTTTGTATGTGTACAATGTATACTTAAAATGATAAAAATCTTGAAAATTTGTATTATTTCCTGGTACATTATTATTAATATATGTTTTATTTCACAGAATTTTAATGGGAAAATACGTATAACGCCACACTACCACAATTGGTACGCTACCCGAATTGACATACGATGAGAAATGTTTAGAACAGTACTTTTAAAAAAAGATTTATATGTTTTCCACTGATGGCATAAGAATGTAGATATGTTATACTTGTCAGCGTTTTCACCCAGTATTGTTCAAATTAAATAAGGCGGAAAACCAGAAAAACAACGACAAACGTCGACGACATTTGGAAGAGTTCTAAGTAAGTAAGCTATTGGTTTCTGGTCCTTATAACCGGATAATATAAGAGTGTATATCATGATCAACTTATTGAAATTAACAAAAGTTTCCTAATATGTGAAACATAACATTTCCTGAAAATAAACTTCCATTGGCAGCCTTTGTCAGGAAAAAAGATACATTTAATATACATTGTATATGATATGGAATTTCAAATATAAGTGAATAATGGTCGTTCTAACACTGTCACGTTAAACTATAGGCAACACAACGATATCTCGTGTATGTACAATTGAAATGTTTATATAGCACAATTAATATTTCTAGCAGCACTATCATAGCAATATCACAATAAAGTAATAATCGATTGCATCATATTGACTATCCATGTATTTACTATTTTGAATACGTATCAAAAATAATCAAACATACACTAAATGTTCTCCCTGAATTAGTAGAAGTTATTATAAGTACACAACATTGTCGATACGATCCATAAATTCAGGTCCCAGTTAAACTTACCCTGAACATGCATCACTAGCGCTCATCATAAGTCACCTCCATTAATTATATATCAATACCAGGCAATTTAAAAACACCACTAGTTCATCACTTTATATGTCAAAAGTGTACCAATATGGGAAGCATGCATGTAAAAATGAATTGTTTATCTATCATAATAAATATTTTCCAGTAGCACTTTTATAGCAATATCACATAATCGATTGTCATATTGACTATTCATGTATTAAATATTAAAAAGGTAAAGCATCAGAAATTAGCAAACATGCACTAAACTTTCTCCAAAATTAGTAGAAGATAACATAAGTACACATCATTGTACATACGATCCATAATGTCACTGACCTTAAGCCAAGTCCTATTTCGACCTTGACTAGTCCATGCATCACTAGCACTCATCATAAATCACCTCAAATAATAATATATATCAACAATAGGCCATCTAAAATGAAACGAGCTCATTACTTATACGTCAAAAAGTGGACCAATTTCGGTAGCTACACGTTATATTACGGGCAACACGCATCGATATTACGTGGGTGGAAAAGTGAACTGTTTATATGTCACAATGAATATTTTTAGTAGAGCTATTATAGCAATATCACATTAAAGTTCTAGCAACAATCGATTGTCATATTGACTATTCATGTATTAATTATTGAATACGTAAAGCATCAGATATAATCACACATACTCTAAAACTTTCTCTCAGAATAAGTAGAAGTTGTTATAAATACATAAATTCAGGACCTAGTAAGACACTGGCCTGTACATGCATCACTAGCGCTCACCATATCTCATCTTCAGTAATTACATGTAAATATCAGGCCATCTTAAAACTAAGCTACCCCTTCACTTAATGTATGTCGAAATTGTACCTATAAGGGTAGCGTCACGTTAGCCTATGGGTACCACAGCTATATAACGTGCATGTAAAATTGAACTATTTATCTATCTCAATGAATATTTCTAGTAGCACTAATATAGCAATATCACATAAAGATTCTAGTAATAACCGATTGTCATATTGGCTAACCATGTATTAATTATTTAATACGTAAAGCATCGGACCTAATCAAACATAAAAGTTTCTCTTGGACTTAGTAGTTACAGGAGTACACAGCATTCTCCATAGATAATGTTATTGCCATTTTAAGGTACGTCCTATTTCGACCTTGGCTGGTCCATTAAACACTAGCACCAACCATGAGCTACATCCATTAATCACTAGCACCAACCATGAGCTACATCCATTAAACACTAGGCCACCTCAAACAGAAACTAGCTCATCAATTATATAAATATTTAGATTTCTCTCATGAAACACGTTCTTCATCTTCGAATTCTCCATGCAAGAACCTCGTTCCAGACGAAATTGTGATCATTTCTAAATCTTGATCCTGGTTGACATTGTCAATAATAAGCTCATCTACAGGCCTAAAATCTTCACCCGAGTCTCTCTCCTCTAAATCTCCAATGGAGAGTTTTATCTTTGTATTTTGACGACCTAGGTAAGAGCTCTCCCATTCCTCTTTGATCTTAATGGCATAACAATTAAAACAAGGGGACAAAAGTCTGTAGTAGCCCATCTGAACATCCCGTAGACGGACTGCGTAAATAATAGGATCACACACAGAGTTCATTAATAGCAACGCGTAAAGATATTTGTTTGCGCGTAACAATGTCGAAAACAACTGTTTCACAATGTCCTTGTTTACATGAATTTGAATCACCATGGCTATTTGAAAAACACATGTCGGAAGCCAACAGAGTATGAAGGTACCTATGATGAGTAGTGTTGTTACCAATGACTTCTTGTTGTGGAAGCTGTCTTTTTGTAGGTAGGTTAGTCTGTTGTTTATAATTCTAACCTCACAGTAGATACGCAGGTAGATGACGGAGATGGATACGAGGCAGACGACGATGACCACCATAATGAGGTATTCCCCGTGAAAGTCGTTATACATGATTACCTCACAGAAGTTGAGGTAGCGTGCTCGATCCTCGTATGCACTAATGCCTGTCAAAAAGTTACAAAACCCGCCGAGAAAGGCGAGAATCCACAACGAGGCGATCATGAGATTTCCTTTGATTCGACTTAGAATGGTTGTGTAGTAAAGAGGCCGAAAAACGGCAATGTAATGGTCCATGGCCATGGCCAGTAGATTTAGAAGGGAAATCAGGTGTGCCATTATATTGAGTCCGTTGATCAAGGCGAACATGCAGGACGATGTTAAACGATCATTTGGGTTCAGCATGGGTGGCAATTTGGCAGAATTGAACACTTTGTTGAGTACATGAATAAAGACGCTTAGAGTAATGAGAATGTCTGACAGAGCAAGACTGATGATGAGTTTGGAGTGCGTCGTCAGTCCATGGGGGATTTTAGTCGTGGCACATATGGATAATGTATTCACTAACAGAGCCAAAAAACTCAACACTAAAATTAGAATGGTTTCTGGCTGGGATAGAATCACCTCGGCCCGCTCATGTAAGTTCTGAGGCTGAAGGTTTGTCCAAGAAGTTGCATTTATAACATGAGCGAATCGAGAGAGAAATTCTAGATCAGTGGTATTGAAAAGGTCGAAGAAAGGGTTAGCCGTTACATTCATGATTACCACAAATGCCTTATTTAAAAACTGGGATACCTGGATGACACTGTCATTATGATCTTCACCCTTCAGCTTGATGCAACATATTTTCAACAGAAATATTTTGCCTTCTCCTGGATAGGGATTAGATAGAAAATCCACGGTATCAAACCGCTTGCCTCACTGTTTACTTAAGATCCAACGTGTAGTTTAGACACCTTTTGTAATATCCAACTGTAGCATAGACACCTGTAATAATTATCCAAGTGTAGTTTAGACACCTTTTTCAATATCCAACTGTATTATGGACACATGTAATATCCAAGTGTATTTTAGACACCTTTTGTAATATCCAACTGTAGCATAGACACCTGTAATATCCAAGTGTAGTTTAGACACCTTTTGTAATATCCAACTGTAGCATAGACACCTGTAATAATTATCCAAGTGTATTTTAGACACCCTTCGTAATATCCAACTATATTATGGACACATGTAATATCCAAGTGTATTTTAGACACCTTTTGTAATATCCAACTGTAGCATAGACACCTGTAATAATTATCCAAGTGTATTTTAGACACCTTTCGTATTATCCAACTATATAATGGACACATGTAATATCCAACTGTATTATGGACATATGTCGTAATATCTAACTGTATCGTAGACACATGTAATATCCAAGGGTATTAAAGACACCTTTCGGACACCTGTATTATAGACACATACAGTAATATCCAACTGTTATATGTCTTAGTCTGCAGCTAAACTAAAGATACGTACAGCAATCTCCAGCTGAATTATCGACAAATGACGTAATCTAAAACAGTTATAAAGACACATGATGTATTTTACAACTGTATTATAGACAAATCACGTAGTTTCGTCCTGTATTAAACACACATATCATAATGTCCTTGTTTTTTCTCATAGACGCATGACGTAATATCCAACTGTATTAAAGACACATGACGTAATATCCAACTGTATTAAAGACACATTACGTAATATCCAACTGTATTATAGACACATGACGTAATATCCAACTGTATTAAAGACACATGACGTAATATCCTACTGTATTGTAGAAAGATGACAAAGGAAGCTCCTCCACAGATAAAGTATGGTATATGTCATGATTTGACAATGCAAATGAATCCAAGTTGCATGAATATGTTAAAATATTGATCCAATGAAAAGGCGTTGATCGACGATATTACTTGTGTAATAGTCACATTCAGATGATTTTCAATGTAGTTTAAACATTTGAATCATATCAATGTGTTCTTTCCGTGTAAATACATGTGCATAGATACATGTTTTTCCTGAGAATTGAAGGATGTCATCACAATTCCACTGATACGTTAGAAGAACTACTGATAGAAGAATGGTCATTAAATTTCCAATATGCTATCACAGTTGTGAGACCATATGAGCTCGACTATGTTTGCTTTCTGTTGGATGAGTCAATCATATCTTGTATGCGCCATATAATAGAAAATATATTGACCTTCTGTTATGTTGTTGTTCAGAGAAAAATTGTCTGCCACACTGTCCTCGGTACTTGTGAAGCTTTCCATATATAACTACTGAAAGAACAGTTTTGGTGAGAAAAGTGTTTTTCTTGTGTATAGGACTATACACACCTTGTACAGGTGAAGATAAATCTTATCGTATGACTCTAGGCTGTGTTAGGATAAATATATATCTCACCTTGAGGCTTTTACCAGAAAATGTTTGAATGACGCTTGGAGATATCATTTTGTGTATAAGTATAGTTAATGTAGATAAAAATAGTTTGATGCCCGCATAAACTTGTGAATTACTGCGACCTGTGCCAAAGGTATCGTCACCTCTCTAACGTTGACAGCCCTATCACTCTCCTATCTATATATACCAATGGAGACGACTGCTGTATGACCCTATATATATAAGTGTATTTAACGTCAACGTTCTTTCCTCGGACTGGTCTACAGCTTAGATTTGGTCTCGGTCCACTGGTGTTGAACTGTCCCAAAACTTAGTCCACTGGTGTTGGGTTTTCCTGTCTATTTATTGCAAAGTTCGGTTCACTGGTGTCGGATTGTCCCGCCTATTTATAGAAGCATCGGTTCACTGGTGTCGGATTGTCCCATCTATTTATAGAAAGATTCGGTCCACTGGTGTCTGATTGTCCCGTCTATTTATAGAAGCATCGGTTCACTGGTGTCGGATTGTCCCATCTATTTATAGAAAGATTCGGTCCACTAGTGTCTGCTTGTTCTGTCTATTTATAGCTGGTGTGGGACTGTCCTACCTATTGGAAAAGGTGCTTCTTGACCACGTGTTTAAAGTTCAACGAACCTCTGAAAGATGGTATTTCCATCCAGATATGGCATATTCAAAACCGGAGTATATATACTAACTTGAATATACTGAATTATCACATTAAAGATGGTAAACAACCAGGATAACGAAGTTAATAAAAAGGCGTTAAAGCTAAAATAATTCACCGGATTTCTAACATGTCAATCTCTTTTGCATCCACACTGAATTTTACGAAATGAAATATTATCTAAAATTCTTTCATTTCTCTTTTAATAGCTTTGGGTATATCTTATGATAATGATCGCATTTTTACTAACTTTTCCTTGCATATTTTACGAGGCTGTTCATTCTGATAGGCAGATTGTTTACCATGGAATATCATATGAAAAAAAAAGAGATATTTTTTTATCAACCTTGCTTGTACTGCTTGTCAAACTCTCGGGCTCGGGTTTGATAGTTAAGCAAAATTCCACGAGTATTCGGGAAAATGGTATGTTCTGATTGGCTGATTGACTCCTGCGCAGTTTTGTATTCGGGAATGATTGGATATTGAAAAAGCTTACCTGGTACAATGAGGCTGCTGTATTCTAAGAGACTTATTGCTTTCTGTGAGATATACATGTCGCCTTTTGACAGAGCGAACGGATTTTGCTTGGGGAACTTTACCCAAGTGTCTCAGTTGGGTTCAATATTCAACGAATTCCGCAAATATTTAATGAGGTTACTGATTGGCTGATTTCAGTGCAACGTTCTGTGACGAAATGATAGGATTTGTTCGAAATTGCCTGGTTAACTATTTACCCAATACTTAACAGGCGACTTCTGAGCATATTTAATAATGCTCCTTATTGGCTGATGACTATCTGCGTAATAACCTTAAAAAGGAATGAAAAGATTCCAATTGATATTGTCTGGTATACGACTTACCCACAATTCTCGCTTTAGTTCAAAGATAAATGTTTTTTGGCATATATCCAACATACTTTTTTCTACATTTCCCTGATCGTTAAAACCCAACGAGGTCACCAAGCGTTGTTCCTGATTGTTTTACAAATATATGGCTAATGGTTTTGCTTACTTGATATGCTTTTGTTCATACTAAGTGGAAACTTGTACTAATTAAGTGGATAGCGAACATGGTTCAAAATAATTTATTATTCCGATCCCCTAATACAAAATGGCTGACATGGCTTCCGGTTGGCTGTGGCTGAACGCTTTCAGACAGAATTTGCTGAACTTTTGACCTTGGAGCAAGAATCTTGATAAAGAAAACACACACACTGTTACCGATTTTAAAAAAACTGTCAGGTTTTCATTTGACAGTTATTCATTATGTTAGATCACAATACACACGGCGTAGAGAAGATAGCGGGACATATTTATTCCTTCTCTTGTTGATACTAGAATCACAGGGAAGAAACTCAAATTGTCTACCTGTTTATATCCAAAAGATACACGCCGCATACCAACATGGGAATTTCGGGATGACAATTATGTAATCTGCATTGGGCCATATCACATGCATCATATGTATTCAATGCTACCTGGTGATGAGATGTTATATTTTCAATATTTGATCAATGTAACCCTCGGCAGTTCATAAGTAGAGGCGAAAAGTTATTTAAATGTCGTCTTTTTTATAAGACACTGTAAAAGTATTTGTACAAAGGACAATTTTAATGTGTGCGAGAGGCCTAGAGGGCTTGTATCGCTCAACTGGATATCAAAGCAATCATGACAAAACTATTCTCATTAAATGTATTACTGCAAGCATTCTCCAATTATGGCTCTGTCTCTCAGTATCAAGGGAGCGTTAACCTTTTACATTGGCTTAATCATTTAGGAAGCAGGCTTTCAAATACTAAACAACATAACACCGTTTTGTGCCCAGCATCTAGGGGAGCTCTTTACTTCCCTTACACAACAACCAATTCCCAGGTCAAATGGACCAAGGATGTCTTATATCAAATATGGTTCAGAACCGTATATGTGTAAATATGGTTGTAGAGAGGGTGTTAACCGTTTCCATGTTATGACCCAATCACCCAATGACTAATTCTCCAATTGCCTAGCAAGCACATATTTGATTTTAGAATAGGGATCTCAACTGTTCCCATGCCATGTCTCTGGGACTAAGTCATCAAGGGCAGGGTCATACCCCAGAGTTAATGCTGGTAGTATTTTTGTGTTAATATCGTCTTGTTCATCAATTGTATTTATCGTTGAAGGTATTGGTTCTCTACCGTTCCATGTTTTTGATCAAGGGACTAAATAGGGGGGGGGGGGGGGGGGGGGGGGGGGCTGGACCCAGAACAAATTAGTGTAGTATGAGTGCATTTGTCTCTTCATGGCGTTGGGGTGTCAACAATTGTCAGGTTAAGACATACGACCCAAAACCCCGTGAATACTTATGGTATCCGGAGTACATTCTTCTTGTCATCCCTAGTTTTTGTAAATATAGTTAAAGGGTAGAGATCTTGGCCATATGTCTTTTACAATCCCTTCCTTCAAATAATAAAATTAAGATTTTAATGATTTGCCTTCATTTTCCCATTAGGTCCAACCTTGACCAAAGGGGGTCCACAACCTATATAAATACAACATGTTGCCTTGGCTAAAGTGTATTCGAGATTAAATTTGGTTTAAATCCCTTCGTCTGTATAGAATGAAAAGATTTAAAATTTAAACCTCACCTCTAGTGAGTTCGGTACTCTAGCTGTCTCTAGGCGAGTCACGCCCTCCGTTCACACAACATTGAGTCCCCTTTGCCATACATTGCTCCAGATCAAAATGTGTTAAGATCTTCATCTGTACAAAAGGATAAGGGTTTTAAGATGTTACATAACCATATTGGGGAGTGGCCCTCCTCCCAAAAGGAAATGTATTTCAAATGCTTTTAATCCGTAAAGAAGGACAGGGATTTCAAAGTTCTGTCAATAAGTCATTTACTGTGCTCCGAGTCTCTGCATACACACACAGGCCAGACTGTTTTACAATCGTTGACTCAATGATCTAACATACGGGATTTCCGCACGTTTTGTATAGTTGAAATCACAGGGACCCGAGAATTTGCTACAGCTATATTTGGACCTAAACTAAGGTGTTTAGAGTAATTTTACATGTTTTAGGGGTTAAGATAGACTTTGGGTAAAAATGACACCCCAATGATCATATATACGACGCCAACCTCATAAATATACAAAGTGGCACGATGACTGCGAAAAACTTTGAAACTCTGAAATGGCGTGTGTTTTTGGAGGAAAAGGATAGCAGGAGTGCTCTACATTGTAAAGCAACACGAGCGTTGTACATAGGCCCTTGAGTTGAGTAGGACCCAAAGTACCATAATATAAATATATATATATAAATATATATGTATTTAGGGATATAAAACTGCACGAACGAGTCTGATCTTAAATGTCACAAAGAGTACAGATATTGGCGGAGATAATTACAATTAACGACAATATAACATGTATATAGTCTAATTCCGTCTTTATGTCCTATAAACTGGTTTTGTATAAAGTCACACTTGAGTTCCGAGATATGAACAATTGGAAATATGAATTAAATAATAGATGGTAAGATTACAGTTTTTCATGAAGAAGCAATTATTTACACAATTAATTTCAGCACTAATTTATCACAAAATGTCTGCGTGATAGATCTGTAGATAGACTGATTTTCAGGTTTGATCCGTACAGAAGGGGGGG